TACGCCGTTGCGGTGCCGAATCGTCGTGATCTCCGATCCCCTCCCCGGCTGCCCTGACGTGACGTGCACGCTGCAGAGCAGCAGTTCCAAGAAGCGATCCATCTGTCGCATGTACTGCCGCACCGCCTTGACGCTCCACTGCCCGTCCGCACGCGTTAATCGCAGCCCGCCCGCTGTAGTCATCGCTCTCCTAAGCATCCAAGCCAGCCCGCCTTGCAGTTTGTTGCCTGGAGCGTCGACAAACGACGTGCGTCGTTTTGTGAACGTGACGTCGTCGACTACCTGCTTCAAATCAACGGTAACCCGCTCTTCCTCGCCGTCCACCCAGCAAAGCTCCCACAGCATCTGCTCTGTTTCAGCCAACAAGTCCTGCGCCATCTTGCAGAAGCGGCGGATGACGATCGGTCGGCCGTTCAGATAGAACGTCTGCTTGTCCTCTGACCAGTAAGCGTTGCCTGAGTTGCCGGCCGTGAGTCCAATGTGTTTGCCGTACGCCAGCATGCTGATCATCTCGCTCATCGGGCTGAACGTGCCGTCTGCTAGCTGCTTGTGCCGCGTTGCCAGAAAACTGTCGCGGTCTTCTTCTGTCTGCGTGTCGCGCTGCCCTCCTGGGAGCAGCTTCTCCAGAGCGAGCACCCGCACGCAGTACACCATCCCCGCCAGCATGTACGAGTAGTTCTTTGCGGTCCGCAAGCGGCCCGTGTCTACATCAATCCCAAGCACTGCGAGAAACTGAATCAAACCAGTAGACAACGCCACGGGATGATACGTCGTGAAGATGAACGAGCTGATAGACGCAAGAAGCGCCTCCGTCTGAGCGCCTCTGTCGTCGCCATCTAGCGCGTCCCACAGCCTGATCGCATACAACTTCTGCTCAGCTGTCCACGTGAAGAGCTCGCGCGTGTCCTTCATCATGTCTGGTGCCTGTTGACTGCGTGTCCTGCGCCGGGGCCGCGGGCTGTCGTCGTCAGCCTCACTGCCTTCCGCTTCGTCTTCGCTGTCTTCGTCGCTGCTCAACGCCGCACTGCTTTCGGATCGAGCAGCTGTGTCGCGCTGCTGTCGGAAACGCATAATCCGCTGCTCTTCATCTCCTAGCACGCGTAGATAGAAGCAGACAAACCTCACTATATAGCTTGCGTACACAGCCTGACTCTCTGGGTTCTGCAGTCGCCCCAACGGCCGCACGTCGATCTCGCTCTGCTTTGCGCTCCGCAGCCAGCGCCTGAGTTCTTGCGGAAGCGTAGCCAATCCCTTAACGCTTCTCTCAATCAGTCCCTCTGCCAGCTGAGCAGCTCGCTTGAGCTTGTGTTCGCTCCGATCGGGAGCCCGGGCTTGATGGGCCAGATGAACAAGATTTCGATCCTTGAAGAACGCCAACCAGCCTGTCCGCTTGAACCAGCCTGTCTTGTCTGTTTTCGCGGCCTCTTCTAGCGTTTGCAGCTCTTCCTCGACTCCTTGTTGTGTCAGTTTATACTCAGCAAGCTGCCTCTGAACTGCAACCTCGACGTTGTCGTTTAGAGCATTTTCGGCTACCGCTGAATCAACAACAAAGTATCGCTGTAAACCCCCTGTGCGGAAAAAGCTCTGTACTTTGACAGTGTGATAGAGCGCGCCTCTTTCTCCTAGCCAAGCTTGCTGGTGATCTTTCTTACAGTGCATGCGCATTGTGTCCTTGTTGATAGTGATAAAGCTGCATGTCTTGCACTGCAGCCCGTCTAGCGGTTTCCCAAGCTCTTCTATCGGTCGCGCCGGCTCATCTGGAAGCTCAACGTCTGCTGCATCAACTAGCGCGAATTGATTGAAGCGTTCAACAACTTGTTTTCGAGTTGCAGCGGGCACACTGTGATGCTGCAAGAGATGCGTGTTAAGATTAACAACAGCAGTGTAATGCTCCCTGCATACTAAAACACCAAACTCTTGCAAAAAGCAAAGAATCTTATCGCAATTGTCAAGCGATACTTGCAAGCCTCTTTTACGGCGTTGTGCGCTGCTGCTTGTTGTGTTAACTCGCTCTTGCGGTGTTGACAGACGGCTGTCCCACACTAGCTCCATCGTGAGCCCTAAGTTAACCCCAAGTTAACCCTAACCCTGCTGTATCAGTAGATCTGTAATTTGTTGAAAACAACAATACCGGCGCAATATTCAGACGCGTACAAGACGACTTTGTATGAGCGAAATTGCTGTGCAGTGCTTTGTTTCTGATGAGTTGGGTACATGAAGTTTGACGAGTCGCCTCCTTAATTTTAGTGCGAAACCCTAACGCTAAGCGATATTAAGCTAATTTTGCTGCGAGAAGGGCCTCTCTCGTCACCTCATATTGGATAGGGCCTCTCTCGTCACCTCATATTGGATAGGCTGTGAGTCCAATGTGTTTGCCGTACGCCAGCATGCTGATCATCTCGCTCATCGGGCTGAACGTGCCGTCTGCTAGCTGCTTGTGCCGCGTTGCCAGAAAACTGTCGCGGTCTTCTTCTGTCTGCGTGTCGCGCTGCCCTCCTGGGAGCAGCTTCTCCAGAGTGAGCACCTGCACGCAGTATACCATCCCCGCCAGCATGTATGAGTAGTTCTTTGCAGTCCGCAAGCGGCCCGTGTCTACATCAATCCCAAGCACTGCAAGAAACTGAATCAAACCAGTAGACAACGCCACAGGATGATACGTCGTGAAGATGAACAAGCTGATAGACGCAAGAAGCGCCTCCGTCTGAGCGCCTCTGTCGTCGCCATCTAGCGCGTCCCACAGCCTGATCGCATACAACTTCTGCTCAGCTGTCCACGTGAAGAGCTCGCGCGTGTCCTTCATCATGTCTGGTGCCTGTTAACTGCGTGTCCTGCGCCAGGGCCGCAGGCTGTTGTCGTCAGCCTCACTGCCTTCCGCTTCGTCTTCGCTGTCTTCGTCGCTGCTCAACGCCGCACTGCTTTCAGATCGAGCAGCTGTGTCGCGCTGCTGTCGGAAACGCATAATCTGCTGCTCTTCATCTCCTAGCACGCGTAGATAGAAGCAGACAAACCTCACTATATAGCTTGCGTACACAGCCTGACTCTCTGGGTTCTGCAGTCGCCCCAACGGCCGCACGTCGATCTCGCTCTGCTTTGCGCTCCGCAGCCAGCGCCTGAGTTCTTGCGGAAGCGTAGCCAATCCCTTAACGCTTCTCTTAATCAGTCCCTCTGCCAGCTGAGCAGCTAGCTTGAGCTTGTGTTCGCTCCGATCGGGAGCCCGGGCTTGATGGGCCAGATGAACAAGATTTCGATCCTTGAAGAACGCCAACCAGCCTGTCCGCTTGAACCAGCCTGTCTTGTCTGTTTTCGCGGCCTCTTCTAGCGTTTGCAGCTCTTCCTCAACTTCTTGTTGTGTCAGTTTATACTCAGCAAGCTGCCTCTAAACTGCAACCTTGACGTTGTCGTTTAGAGCATTTTCAGCTACCGCTGAATCAACAACAAAGTATCGCTGTAAACCCCCTGTGCGGAAAAAGCTCTGTACTTTAACAGTGTGATAGAGCGCGCCTCTTTCTCCTAGCCAAGCTTGCTGGTGATCTTTCTTACAGTGCATGCGCATTGTGTCCTTGTTGATAGTGATGAAGCTGCATGTCTTGCACTGCAGCCCGTCTAGCGGTTTCCCAAGCTCTTCTATCAGTCGCGCCGGCTCATCTGGAAGCTTAACGTCTGCTGCATCAACTAGCGCGAATTAATTGAAGCGTTCAACAACTTGTTTTCAAGTTGCAGCAGGCACACTATGATGCTGCAAGAGATGCGTGTTAAGATTAACAACAGCAGTGTAATGCTCCCTGCATACTAAGACACCAAACTCTTGCAAAAAGCAAAGAATCTTATCGCAATTGTCAAGCGATACTTGCAAGCCTCTTTTACGGCGTTGTGCGCTGCTGCTTGTTGTGTTAACTCGCTCTTGCAGTGTTAACAGATGGCTGTCCCACACTAGCTCCATCGTGAGCCCTAAGTTAACCCCAAGTTAACCCTAACCCTGCTGTATCAGTAGATCTGTAATTTGTTGAAAACAACAATACCGGCGCAATATTCAGACGCGTACAAGACGACTTTGTATGAGCGAAATTGCTGTGCAGTGCTTTGTTTCTGATGAGTTGGGTACATGAAGTTTGACGAGTCGCCTCCTTAATTTTAGTGCGAAACCCTAACGCTAAGCGATATTAAGCTAATTTTGCTGCGAGAAGGGCCTCTCTCGTCACCTCATATTGGATAGGTGCCTGTTGACTGCGTGTCCTGCGCCGGGGCCGCGGGCTGTCGTCGTCAGCCTCACTGCCTTCCGCTTCGTCTTCGCTGTCTTCGTCGCTGCTCAACGCCGCACTGCTTTCGGATCGAGCAGCTGTGTCGCGCTGCTGTCGGAAACGCATAATCTGCTGCTCTTTATCTCCTAGCACGCGTAGATAGAAGCAGACAAACCTTACTATATAGCTTGCGTACACAGCCTGACTCTCTGGGTTCTGCAGTCGCCCCAACGGCCGCACGTCGATCTTGCTCTGCTTTGCGCTCCGCAGCCAGCGCCTGAGTTCTTGCGGAAGCGTAGCCAATCCCTTAACGCTTCTCTCAATCAGTCCCTCTGCCAGCTGAGCAGCTAGCTTGAGCTTGTGCTCGCTCCGATCGGGAGCCCGGGCTTGATGGGCCAGATGAACAAGATTTCGATCCTTGAAGAACGCCAACCAGCCTGTCCGCTTGAACCAGCCTGTCTTGTCTGTTTTCGCGGCCTCTTCTAGCGTTTGCAGCTCTTCCTCGACTTCTTGTTGTGTCAGTTTATACTCAGCAAGCTGCCTCTGAACTGCAACCTCGACGTCGTCGTTTAGAGCATTTTCGGCTACCGCTGAATCAACAACAAAGTATCGCTGTAAACCCCCTGTGCGAAAAAAGCTCTGTACTTTGACAGTGCGATAGAGCGCGCCTCGTTCTCCTAGCTAAGCTTGCTGGTGATCTTTCTTATAGTGCATGCGCATTGTGTCCTTGTTGATAGTGATGAAGCTGCATGTCTTGCACTGCAGCCCGTCTAGCGGTTTCCTAAGCTCTTCTATCGGTCGCGCCGGCTCATCTGGAAGCTCAACGTCTGCTGCATCAACTAGCGCGAATTGATTGAAGCGTTCAACAACTTGTTTTCGAGTTGCAGCGGGCACGCTGTGATGCTGCAAGAGATGCGTGTTAAGATTAACAACAGCAGTGTAATGCTCCCTGCATACTAAAACACCAAACTCTTGCAAAAAGCAAAGAATCTTATCGCAATTGTCAAGCGATACTTGCAAGCCTCTTTTACGGCGTTGTGCGCTGCTGCTTGTTGTGTTAACTCGCTCTTGCAGTGTTAACAGATGGCTGTCCCACACTAGCTCCATCGTGAGCCCTAAGTTAACCCCAAGTTAACCCTAACCCTGCTGTATCAGTAGATCTGTAATTTGTTGAAAACAACAATACCGGCGCAATATTCAGACGCGTACAAGACGACTTTGTATGAGCGAAATTGCTGTGCAGTGCTTTGTTTCTGATGAGTTGGGTACATGAAGTTTGACGAGTCGCCTCCTTAATTTTAGTGCGAAACCCTAACGCTAAGCGATATTAAGCTAATTTTGCTGCGAGAAGGGCCTCTCTCGTCACCTCATATTGGATAGGGCCTCTCTCGTCACCTCATATTGGATAGGGCCTCTCTCGTCACCTCATATTGGATAGGGCCTCTCTCGTCACCTCATATTGGATAGGCACTGTAAATAGCAAGCTCTTGCCCCCTCCTGTCGGAAGCACTACGACGAGCGGCGTCTGATTGTCTAGCACCGCGTACAGCGCCTGTTCCTGCTCGGCAGATCGGAAGCCAACGTCCTGCTTGCCCAGCACTTGCTGCAGCGCCTTGTGTACCGTCTCGGCCCGCGGGTCCTCTGCTGGGACGGTCTTTTCTCTTGGCAACCCCACCAGCCCTGATATGCTCTCTCGCATCCGTCTCTTTCTTCTGCTGCTCGGCTCCACCAGCTCATCTGCCAGCCCGTCTACGCCCAAGAAGCGGTGCCACGCTGTGCTGAGCGCCCGGAACGCATCTATCGACCGCACGCTGAGATGCTTGACAATATCAATCGGCACGCTGTAGTTGCCAACCCCCATCGCTGTCGTCCGCGAGTTCTGCAGCTCGACGATATCCTCTTGATCTTCATCCACCTCAGCTTCGTCTACTTCCCCAACCTCGTCTTGATAACCCCGACCAAACGACTCCCCCACTTTGACCCTGCCAATACCTACAGCTGCGTGACGGTAGCCCTGCGTGTGTAATCGAACGCCTAGTCGCTTGCCTGTCTCGCGCTTGAGCACCTTTGTTAGTTTATCTGTGCCCCACGCCCCTTGCCCGTTGCTCCAGACATAGTCGCTCAAGCCGCCACCTAGCACCTGAACTACAAGATACTCTCGAAACGGCTGCAAGTAGCTCAAGTACAGAGCCATGATCTGTCCCAACTGCGGCGGCAGAAAGCGCGGCACAACCTTCGGCTTGTCCCACTGAGACTGCGACTTGTGATAACGGACGACTGTCATGACGGCACCGTCCACGATGAAGATGTTGCGGTCCTGCAGCAGCCCGTTGCGGTGTCGCATTGTCGTGATCTCCGACCCTCGACCCGGCTGTCCATACTCAACGTGCACGCAGCCCATCAGTAGCTCCAAGAACCGGTCCACCTGCAGCAGATACTGCCGCACCTTCTTGCCTCTCCACCGACCATCCGCCGTCTGCAGCTGCATGCCGCCCTCCTTGCTTCGGGCTCTTGTGAGCATCCAAGCCAGTCCACCAGACAGACCGTTCGCCGGATTGCTAACGAAAGACATGCCCTGTGTCGTGAACGTAACGTCGTCTGAAATCTGCGCAAGATCAATGCTGAAGCGGTCGGCAGCCGTGTCGACCCAACACAGCTGCCAGAACTGCTCCACTACCTCGGCTTGCATGCTCTGAGCCATCTGACGGAAGCGCTCGATGACAATGGGCCGCCCGTTGAGATAGAAGATCTTCTTGTCCAGTGACCAGTACGCGTTGCCAGCATTGCCTTCGTTCAGCGCAGCGTGTTTGCTGTATGCTAGAAGACTGATCATCTCACTCATCGGACTGTACGAGCCGTCGGCCAGATACTTCTTGCGCATTTCCAAGAACCTGTCCCGCGCTTCTTCTGTCTGCTCATCGCGCCCTGCTGCGGGAAGAAGCTTCTCAACTCCAACCACCCGGGTGCAATACACCATCCCTGCTAGCATATACGAGTAGTTCTTTGCAGTGCGCAAGCGTTTTGTCTCGGTGTCTATGCCTAGCACGGCAAGAAACTGCACCAATCCAGCTGACAACACCTCGTTGCCATAGCTCGTAAGTATGAACGAACTCAGCGAGTCCAGCAGAACAGTGATTTGAGCTGCTCGGTCACCGTTGTCGAGAGCAATCCACAGCCGAATCGCCAGCGCCTTCTGATCCTCCTTCCAGCTGAACACTTCACGCGCATCCTTCATTGTGTCTGTCGGCGCTTTTTGACGCGGTCGGCGCTCTGGCACAACACTGTCGTTGCCGTCGCTATCAGCATTGTTGTCGTCGTCGCTGTCGTCGTACTCGCTCTCTGTGCCAGCACCATCGCCGCTTGACTCCTCGCTGCCGTGAATAGCCTGATCTCTCTGCAATAGATACTTGTCCATCTGGCGCTCTTCGTCTGCGATGATGCGAAGATAGAAGCAGACGAATCGGACCATGTAGCCAGCGTACGTCGCCTGACTCTCGGGGTTCTGCAGTCGCGCCAGCGGTCGTTGATCGATATCTGTCTGCCGCGCACTACGAAGCCATCGCCGGGTTTCCTGTGGAAGCGTTGCTAAGCCTCTGACGCACTTCTCAATCAGCTGCTCTGTTAGCTGAGCGGCTGCCTGCAATTTCACCTCGTTGCGGTCGGGTAAGCGGGCTTGATGGGCTAGATGAACAAGATTCCGGCCTTTCAAGAACTCCAACCACCCTGTTCGCTTGAACCAGCCGGTTTTATCAGTCTTTGCAGCGTCGCCCATAACCTGTATGTCTTCTTCAAGCTGATTTCGCACCTGGCGCCATGCGTTGAGTTGTTCTTCAACGACCTGATTTGGGTCTGAATTTTGCCTGTTTTCAACAGCACCAGCCTCAACAATAAAATATTTTTGCAGCCCCCCAGTGCGAAAGAAGCTCTGCACTATTACTATATCATAGAGCAAGCTTTTCTCTCCTACCCAAGCTTGCTGGTGTTTTTTCTTGCAATGCCTGCGCATCTCATCTTTGTTGACAGTAATCCAGCTGCACGTCTTGCACTGCGCACCATCAAGCGGCTCTCCAAGCTCGTCCAGCGGCTGCGCGGGCTCGTCCGGGAGCTCAATTGCGCTTGGAGCGACAGTCTTAAATTGACTGAAGCGCTCAAGTATTTGTCGCCGTAGCGCAGCAGATGCAGCATGGTGTTTACGGAGATGCGCATCCAGACTCACTACTGCCGTGCAGTGCTGCTTGCAAACAATAACACTAAAGTCTTCAAGAAAGCTGAATACGCTGTCGCAGTTGCTGAGCGCAAGCTGCTGCGGCCACTTGCGGGAGTTCGCAGTGTTGCTGCTTGTAATGTTTGCCTGTTGGGGTGCTGTTGCTCGGCTGTCCCACACAAGCTCCATTGTGCAGAAACCCTAACCCTACTTACCAAAACAGCACTGCGTTTTACTGAAGTTACAGACCAAACGCTCAGCGTCGCTGCGCAAAGTACGTAGAAATCGAGTTTGTATGAGACGTTTTTTGATCCAAGTAAAAATTGATCGCGATTCGGGGGTGTTGGGGTTGCGCGAGGGACCACCAAAATGTGCTTCTTGATTAAGCGAAAACCCTAACGCTAAACCTGTTTCGCTGCGATTTGGTGTCCTCCACGCGCCCTTATATCGGGTAGGACAAGTAGGGGATGTAAAAGAGCAGATGCACAGCTACATCTATCAATGTTCTCGGATTATGCATCTAGCGGAGTTAAAAACCAAGATTGTAATAGCTGCATAAATTGACCCGCTGCAGGGATTTGTCAAGCTTTCGCCCCTCTCTTCGACGGCAAAGTAGCACAGATCATTGCGGTGTTGTTCTCGGTGGCACAGATTGTGATCGCGAACCTCGTTCGAGGCTTGTCACCAGCTTCATGCGGCGAGCGTTTTATCAAGATACCGTAAACGAGCTTCTGTCTCATGCACTATCCACTGTACAATGTCAACGCTGCCGTCACTCGAACAGCGCGGAGCACCTTCGCTACCGTTGTTCTATGGTGGATCACGAGCACACCGGAGGCCGGTACGAAGACCGGTGTTATATGCCATCAAGGAATACCAAATGTCATGCGCCACGCTCACCGCTTAAGACAGCGGTTTGACGCACGACATAGGCTCGGGGACCATTTCTGGCGTGTAATGCAATGCTTTTCGCGTCTGGATGAAACAGACCGTTGGAGCAAGCTTGGTCCCAGAACTTTTACCTGATCGGGTTTAGTAAGTACCTCGCCTTGTTGAAACTGATTTTATGATGACCGGCAGTCTATGGCCAAAAGAGGCGTTCTAGACTGCTTCCGTTCATAACCACCGCTAACTGTATTATTATGAAGTTCTTGGCTATTCCTGGCTCCAAAAGACGGCCCGTTCCACCAGACTACCAATCTTTCGCCTGGCTTGGACTATTGAGGCTCTGCACGTTCTCATAACAGTTTCCGCGCTTCCGGGATCTCATTTCAATCATCAAGCATGTATCTACATTTGCGCCTTCAACAAGAAAACATGCCATATTCTCGCATGATTTCTCATACGATCTTTCGTTGGTGTCAAGTAAGAAGGCTCTGCAGAACTTGGCACGCGAGTCTTCGTATCGCTGACTGATCTCCAGCTGCAAGTGGCGAGAGATATGTGGCAGACCCTTGCCATCTTGGATTGAGTGAGTGCGCTTTTCTCCTTGCGCCGCTCTCCTTGCAATGTTAGCCCCAGCATATATCTCTGCATGGATCTAGCTGACCACTTAGACAAGAATGAGCTTCGAACAGTACTATGTTTGGCCGTTCTTGTTCGACGTAAATAGTCTACAGTCTATCTGACTCAGATTGGCCCCGATTTGATAGCGGCTTAGGCTAGAGAACTTAGCTCAGGTCGTCACGAGAAAAAAGTCTCTCAAACAATCGAGATCAGCCCAGAAGGAATTCGACCGAGTGCAAAGGGAGCCGTGTGTTATGAAACCGCGCCACAACGTAACATTTTTTAGTGTCGGGAGATATTAAATGCGTTGTACAACAGATTGTAAGCCACGCGTTCAAAGAGGCCAATGTCTTCAGTGATGCCGCAAGTCCAGTGACTTCTCCTTTCTCCTTGTCTTTTTTTCACCAATTCTAGTCGGAGACCTTTTCGCGCTGATTTCGGTCAAATACACCTCTACATTGATAGTCTTGGTATACACTAGTGCTATATTCTGGCTGACCGTATCTCACATCTTGGCTTGCAACGCCTAATGCTATTGTAGTCACGGTCGCTCACGGAGCGATATATACTATAGACTGCTTGGCATGTTACCGTCGACATATTTAAGCTGTCCGGTCTCCCTTGTGAATTCTGACCATCATCACCATCACCTTTTTCATCAATATCTCCGACCAACAATAGCTCTTCAGTCTCAAGCGAAACAGTCGTTCAATCATAATGAAGTTCATTACCGCTTTCGTTGCTGCTTTGACTGCCGCTCTGGCTTCAGCCCAGACTCTCAACATTCCTACTAGAGTGGGAGCTGTCCAGAGGGCCCGAGCGTCTGTCATCTCCGCCAACCGTGACTTCGGAAATGCGGAATTTGACAGCGGCATCGCCTGCAATGAGGACGAAGGTGGTGACCCCGTCTTTATCATACGTCCTGGTGTCACCATATCCAACCTGATTATCGGACCTAATCAAATTGACGGTAGGTTACCACTTGTGCTATCTCTAGGAATCTTGCACTAAGCGTCACTAGGCATCCACTGTGAAGGTGCTTGCACCATCAGGAACGTCTGGTTCAGGAACGTCTGCGAAGGTGAGATAATCTTTTCAAGCGACCCAAATTAGCAGACTTAACATCTCAGACGCTGTTACTGCACTTGGAGCTGGCAACGTTCTTATTGAGGGCGGTGGCGCCACTGGCGCATCTGACAAAGTCATCCAGGCCAACGGCCGTGGAACTGTGACCATTCGCAACTACACTGTCACCAACTCTGGAAAGCTGTACCGAAGCTGCGGCAACTGCTCCAACAACCAGGCTAGGAGCCCACGCCGCGTCATCGTTGACAATGTCCGCGCTAGTGGGATGACTTCTGAATTCGTTGCTATCAACGCCAACTTTGGTGACACCGCTGAGATTAGCCGTGTCTGCGGTAGCAATAACGGTGATATTTGCAGGCCATACCAAGGTATCGAGCGCGGCCAGTCTGGTGGTGGCGGCCAGTCCGGTAACGCTGGATGCGGTGGTGCCCAGGGAACTTTGGCCACAACCCCCGCATGCTAAGCGCATGTTTAAACCTCTCAGCAGGCAATCTGCAGCAGAGAACATCCAAAGAGCCTTCTACGCAGCTGGGATAGTATAAGAGAAGCTCGAAGACTAAGTTCTGTAGCGTAGCTCTGTAGCATAAAGCCAATTCATTGCCTTTTTAAACATCCTGTCCTCTGATAGTCTATCAGGCATTTTAATAACAGACGTAAAGAAGTAGCTTTCAGGTTTTCCCTTATTTAGACTAAAAGATACAGAAGTATAGTTCAGTAACGTGTATCCATGCGTGGCGCAAATCACAGTGTGCTGCAACTGACCAATCAGTTTGTGCAAACTCCAGACTTTATCGCTCTTCTCGCAAGTTGATTGGCCAGTTGCGGTACACTGTGATTTGCGCCACGCATGGATGCACGTTACAGTCCTTTATCCAATTTAGCAGCCAATTTACATCGGTATCTAAGGAAGGCCGATAGGAAAAATCTAGAATTAGGAGAGAGAACCAACCAAGAGCTTTAGGAGACTCGAAAGCTTTAGGGCTACAATTTCAGCTAGATTATTCAAGATGAATCTTAAATTAGCAATAACTTTAAAATGCAAGATTGATTACATAAGTAATAGCTCGGTAGCCATCTCTGTTGAAAGTGGTGTAGGGTCTTTCCTTTTACTTCCAGCCGAGTCCGTCCGAGGGCTCGATCGCAAATGCTGTTAATACTAATTTCAGCTAGATTCTCTTTTCTTTATGCAAGGTCAGCATCTAGACGTTTGAACAAGGGTGCTTTTTCGCTTGTGCCGGCAGTACGAGCCGTAGAGAGGAAGTGACATATCATGTCAGCATCTGATCGCAGTATTCGACGGACCCTGCGTTTGCCGCTGAATACCCAGTATTTACGCAGCATGATTGAATGTCAAGATGCAGCGAAGCATTCAGAAGTCATTGCGAGCCTTGGCATGTAGATTCAAGTCAGTGCCGCTAGTGTGAATAGGTGACACTTTCGCGGTTCTTGGTCAACTGGTCTCTTTCGACCTGATGTTTTCAGAGGCAGGCGCTAAGACATTTTTAATCAACACTGCTAATCGAAGCCTAAGAACCAACGATTCCACCAGGAACAAGGAAAGTGTGCTAACGTAGCTACGCCGTGTCGTTCAAGATAGAGGAGCAGGGATAATGTGCATATGCGAGACCATGAAACACTAGCGCTTTCCCTTCGCGCTATGCTACATTTAGATGTCTACATGAAATGGTATTCCCTCATCTTGCAGCTAGATTATGGGACAAAACATCACCTGTATCAGCTCGATAGGCAATACTGATTCGGCCTGTCGAGAAGTACGAGAGAGCGCGGCGCCATAGTCCGCGGCCGTCTCCGCTATCCCACATCCCCCGATCGCTTGAACAGTGTAAGAAGAGAATCTTGAAAGCAGACGAATAAGCAGCAGCGCTAAATAGACCCGAAAACGAATCAAAACAGTCTTTTACCTCATTAGTCTCGCTATCGCTGAATATAGAATGATGATTCCTCTGATACCGATGATGAAGTACATAAAACATGATTCTAACGCCCACAAGATTCACAAACTGTACGAAGAGCTCGGTCTCGCTTGCGAGGCCATAAAACTGACTCAACGGACGTGATAATGTCTGAACGACTGGCCATTAACCACAATGGCCAAACATCACACCGCAATACTACTATAGTGTCCACTATGAGCCGGGCGGTGCAGCTAATTACGTTGAGCAACGCGAAAATGGTCTCGTTGCTACTGTTAGAAAGGGAGGGCATTATTGAATCATGAGTGGCGAAATCTTTAGTCGACTCTAGACAACGGGCCAACAACAGCTAATTCAGTCATAGAATAGCTTTAGACCACTAATAGCAGGGGGTAGGATTTTCAAGCGTGCGGCCTGTTGCTAGGTTTGCGTCTAGTATCTTGAAGACAGTGGACCCAAAAGGCCAAGCATGGATCCAGCATCTAGTGCAATAATGTTGACTGTAACTCAAGATGTCGTAGCTCAGAAAATCTAAAGATCTACAAGGTCTCTTCTAAGCTGAAGCCTATAGCTCACACAGCCGTTACAAGCCTCTAGGCCTAACACACAAATTTCGACGTGCGAAAAGACCACCTGATGTCTGCTCATCGTAAGACTGTGCTAGTTCAAGCAGGTTTTCGCTGTTACTGCTGCACTTGTCAAGCTATAGCAATAGAAACTATGGATTTAGCATTCAAGCTTGCTTCGAAGTCTGCGAAGGAGACAAACCGTAGCGGCAGCGTTCACATCAATGTATCTCAGACTTTTTGATAAGCTACAGTATAGAATATATACTTGTAGACTGTAGACTAATTACTGTCTTGCAACAAGACTTGGAGTCTAAGCACCTATACTTGCGTTACCCCACTTCTTAGGGTCTCAGACTGTTAGCCGTGTTACTACCTATAAATGGTACTAAATGTCTTGCAATTTACATACACGCTTTAGCCTAAAAGGAATCTTCTCCATGTCTTTGGGAACATATCTGGTCCTTCGAGCCACATTCCATCAATCTAGTTGACTCTGACGCACCCTTCTCGCAAAGAACAGGGTGTTGGACCAATCTCACAGCCTTTTTCAATGTGGTTCTCGCCGAAAAGGGCACAAGAGCTTTGCCGAATTCCACCGAAACCAACTCGTTCGGCTGCTTCTTCGCCACTTCCGGTCTCCCCAACAACGAGGATGTTTGGGCTAGTGTGATCGGACCGTGGAACCTATCGCTTCTCTCTAAGCCATAGCCAGACAGCAGAACATTGATTCTGCTCTGATAGGGGCCTGAAGGAGCTCAACGAGAAGCTCCAGTGCATGTATCTCCCACCATCGAGGTCCATTTTTGCAAGACCTTTACCATCGCCTTGGCTAATCAACGACAGAGGTGATACCCATGCGGAGACGTGGGTTTGTTGGCACAACTGTTCTTGCACGCTGAACTCATCATAGCATTCCGTGAACGTCTCTCAGGTAATTGTATCGCCGTATTGCCACAACACGAAATAGATAGTAGTCAGTGGATGAGTTCGGCTGCTTGAAACGACCATGCCAGCGCAGCCACGGCCAGCTAGGACACCCATGGCGTCGAGCTGAAGGTGTATCTAACCCCCAGCTTAGAGCATGAATAAAGCCCGCCTCAGTTGCTGTTCGTTAGCAGTTAGGGTAATGATTACACGCAATAGCTTATTAACAACAGCAGCAATTAACTACAGAACAAGAGGCCTTTCTAGTAGATTATATACTTAATAAGGACTTACGCGCACAACCTCTATCCTACCCTTGTGTACAAGAGATAGCTACCTAAATCCTGTGCATAAGTAGTAACTATAAGCCTCATAGGCAACTACAGGTACCTTGTTTTATTACCTACAACCTACGCGTCGTCTCTCTAGTTAGTTAAACAATTAAGAGCACACAGACTATTTAAGCCCTTCTTAAGCTATTTAAGTGTACACAAATTGAGCTAGGTATACGCTACAAGGATGTTTAGAATATAGATAAGACTAGGGTTGCACTAGGGGTACATACTGATGCCTGGGTACTTGCTAGTCTATTAAAGAAGAAGACTTATATTAAATCGCTAGAGGATTAGGGGTAGGTATTGATTATGAAGACAATTGCTGCTACTAGTATTAAGCTCTAATGTCTAGTTATCTTCAAGGGCAAGCATCTACAATCTCCCTACTTACCTGGTAAAGATACTCTAGATTAGCTCTAGATAACGCCAGGGAACAGCTAGGCATCTAATACAAGTAGCTCTAGATAGTTACTGCGTACCTTTATACTAAATACTTCCCTATTATCTTATAGTTATCGACTGCTCCTTCTTAACAGCTACTGCTCCTACATCTCTATTAACTTCATGTAGGTATATAAACTGAATTGAATACAACTCCTAGACTTTATACCACACGCTTTTCACGTGCTGCAGCCGCTAATTCTTGCTCTATTCTCTGTAGTCAAGTCTCGCTATCGTAAGCAGATCTGAGTTTCTTAGCCCTGAATAACGCAGCACCTATTAAGAAGGAGCGCTCTAATGTATCGTAAAACAGGGCAAGAGAAAAATGTCTATCAGAGCAAGTTATACAAGCTAGCTGAAGGGTAACAGGTCTCCATTCATGTAACCCAGAGCTAGTCCTTTGATCATTCTGAATCTCTGGACGTTTAAGTACTCCACCAGCAACTAGTCAAGAGGCAACGATCTCAGAGCTGGTATCTAATACGCTTTAGAGCTCACAGGCCCTATACAAGGCTCAGCAACAGTTACTGTAGTCAGAGAATCTCTTAAGGAGTACCCGGCTAGTGCTTGGCAAAGCAGGCAAGGTTACTGCAGCTGCAAATACTCAGGCAGCTCAACTTCAAGCTAAAAACTAGAGACCTAGGTATTGACTAGATAGTACTAGAGTTACCTGCTGACAGAAGCAAATTTAAACTAACCCTAATAAGCACTTTAGCAACGCTAAGGCTATTAAGCTTGCTCTTAAACGAGCAGCAGCTGTACAGGCTCTACAGGCAAGCAAGTTAATTAAGCGAGAAGCAAAAAAAACAGCAGGAGCAGCAGCAGCCCTTAGTCTTAGCTCTATGTGTACTAAGTGGCAAATGTTATTGTTGTCATTGCTTTAGGTTAGGTGCGCAGGAACCCTATGTGCGCGGGAAGTATATAGGCTAGCTTAGTCTTGGCAGAGGTGCTAAACAGTGGAACACGTTAGTACTAGCTTTATGTCTGACTGCGAATTAGGATCAGAAATACAGCACCTATAGAAATTGACGCGCGTTGTTAGCAGCACTAATACTAGATATACTATTATTGGAGGAAGAGGCTAATGCTTACACCCTTAACGCCGAGCCTAAGTTACTACATTTGTAATCTAGAATCTTTCTTGGGTTAGCTTTAACTGACTTGCTTACTTATTGGAAAATGTGCACTTTATTACTTTGAAAACGAAGGTGATAAGTACCCCTTCTATAGTTGACCTTGTTGTTTAGTTATCAGACCCGCGTCTTCAATCTTCACATCGCCGCCTTCTTACACTCTCCCCCCAACTATACTTTTGCAAGTATGAATAAAAAACTCCTTGTTGTCTTTGGCGCAACAGGCAACCAGGGAGGTTCGGTCGTACATCACGTTCTTAGCGACCCAGAGCTCTACAAACAGTACTCTGTCCGTGCCATTACTCGCTCAGCCTCAGGTCCCAATGCCCGAGCTCTAAGCGTGAACGGTGCCGAAATTGTTGAGGCAGATTTGGACGACTCGCTGTCCCTAAAAGCCGCTGTAGCAGGCGCACATACCGTCTTTGCCTCAACAAACACCCAAGACACGGGTAACACGAGGGCAATTGAGACAAGACAAGCGAAGGCGTTATTTAAGGAGTTGGTATACGCTGGAGCAAAATACGTAATCTGGAGCACGCTTCCGCACGTATACAATATTTCGGATGGAAAATTGAATGTCGAGCACTTCGATACAAAGGCTGAGATTGAAGAATATCTGCGCGATCTGCCGATTAAATCTTCATTTTTTGCCCCCGGATTCTTCATGCAGAACTTCCTGTCGCACAGAATGCCACCGCGACTCTCGTCAGCCAACGATGGAACGTATGTCCTGGCGAACCTATGTAAAGGCAACACATTAATGCCACTAATTGATGCCACTGATACAGGCAAGTGGGTTGGAGCTATTCTCGCGAAACCGGACGAGTACGAGGGAAAGTATTTTGCCGCAGCGCAAGGCTTGTATACGTGGGATGAGATTGCTCAAACCATCTCCAAGGTCACTATGAAAACAGTCGAGTTTCAGCATGTTCCAGATGATGTATTTAGGGATTGGATGCCAGAAGGATTGAGAGATGACCTGCACGATATGTACACGATGTTTAGAGAGCACGGCTACTACGGGAAGAAGACGAGGGAGAATATCGCTTGGGCAGCTGAGCGTGCTCGGCGCAGCCCGGTGTCGTTGGAGGAATTCTTTCGGCGGGAGAATTTCAAGTTAGATTGAATATGCCTAGAGGATCTATAGGTTTTTAAAGATTTGTGTGCTATTGAATTCTGACGCTCCAGAACACAACAACATTACTTGAATGCAGAAGGCTTATTATCGTCAAGTTACGTTGATCTAAAAGCTGAGATTTGATGTTCTCAGGTGATTTGGGTAAGTGGATTTTACACATGCTTGTTTTCACTTGCAAAAACCTAACAACATGACTGGCTGATAGTATCCTGTGAGGGCCGGGTGCGATATGCTATGAAAGTGACCGAGCAAGAACTAGCAATAACCCAGGGTTGCGCCGCTATAGTGCGAGGCGTCAGCGAAGGCATATCATGTAACTGTTGACACGTGGCTGTACCACGTAGCGACTAGTCAGCAGGTAGGCGCTTGTGCGGCCAACTGCAAGTAGAGCTTTCAACTGTGACAAAAGAACAATTAGTTGTTGCGGTGCGGTCACACGGGGGTAAGCCGAGAACATTAACATGGAATCCAGGATACAAATTGTTACATGGAAAGCTATTGGATTGCTACTAACAAGGGACAATCACACCTTAAGATGGTCTTCTGACCTCGGCTGATGTCCAACCTTTCACCCAGTCATCCCAAACTGGGATAGGATAGGCTGGAAAGCGCCCCTCCAAGCTTGAACTCCCACGGCAGAGAACCCAGTTGATATCTCCTTCAATTCTTCACCACTTTCCAAAGAAGCAATCACAGTCTCCATGTACTCATCAATTGGCATTGGCGTGTTCGCACTTGTCCTTCCGCCTTGCGATTTGATCGTCTGTTCTCTGATGTGGAGATCCAGCTCGGTGTCTACATACGGTGGGACGAGTTCGAGAACTTTGACATTTGTCCCAGCCAGCTGTGTTCGCAAAGTTACGGTGAACTGGTGAAGACCTGATTTAGTGCCGTTGTAGACTGGGTATTCGCGGAGTGGGATGTACGCCAATGCAGAAGATACCGTAATGAAGGTTGTGGGACGCTTGAGCGACAGCAGATGTGGAACGACACTCCTAGCAATGACCAGCGGAGCAGTGAAATTGGTCGTGATCTCTGACACGATCGATGCCGCAGTTGAGGTGGAAGCATCTGCGAAACTCAACGTTTCCATCTTTCCAGCCATGACGATAATACAGTCAAGTGTAGGGTAGGTGGTAAAGAGTTCAGCGAACTTGGATTCGATGGTTGAGATGTTCTCGATATCAAATTCGTAGGTATCCAAGCCTGGCAGCTCAGTGGCAAGACTTTGAAGACGCTCGAGACGGCGACCGGCGGCGATGACTTTCTTCCCTTTGGAATGGAAGTAACGAGCAAAGGCTCCACCTATGCCAGAAGTAGCCCCAAGAATTAGGGTAGTGCTGATGTTGGCTGTCATTCTGCAAGTTGCAAGTTGGGGTAGTGAATATGAAGTCTCTGTAGTGCGATTGTTGGGCTGCAATAAGTAGTCTGAAGGACAGGGAGATGATAGAGAGCTGTATTTTCAAATGCCCTTCCTAAATACCGATATTTATATCCCCTTCAAGACCAAGTATCTCAGTCTCAAGTTGACCAAGAGTTCTAATTGTGCGAATTATCAATCAACCAACGCTCTCATGCTTGGAGACTGAAACCTTATTTCAAATCAAAATCCGAACGCGGAATTTAGCTACTCGGAGATTGGCTGTAGGATCGCTCGGTCCGAAGAATATCGGGCTTTTCTGAGGCGTAGGGCCTTGCATTCGTGGGAGTGGTTTCTGATATCTAGTGGGGAATATTACTGCTGAACACAAAATGGAGGAACTGGGCAGTGCCTAGAGTAGCTCCGGCTCAAAGCCGAACGTAAGTGGATCTAGCGTCTTCGGGGTCCCCTGAACCTCAATACCGCATAGGTTTGGTGTAGCGTCGTTACGGACAGAAAACGTGACTTGCTTACACGCTGTGTAGCGATCAGCGACTGGCTACTGCAAAGTCGAACAAAGAGTATTGTCTTGGAAGTTAATCAAAATGCAGCATTGAGCCGGGTGCACACAGTTGTGGTAGTGCTGATTGCTAATCACTAGGGTCTGACACCAACACTAGACAGCTGCTTGGCAACAATTAAAGCAAACTGCTGACACGCGAATACCCTCGTAACTCCTTAACTGCTTAACTCCTTAACTCCTTAACTCCTTAATTCCCTAGAAGCCCCACTCACGAAGAGATCTTGAGCAGACCAAGCGATATGTCAAAATTCATCAATTTTCTGGTCAGACAAACTCCTATCTACAGTTCATAGAATCTCTTATCATATTCTTTGGTCATTTACAGCTTAGTAAGTATACCTAAATTTATACTTTCATATCGTACCAATCTGACGTTGAATTGTTGGTTGCTTCTATTTCTGTTAAACGTTTTAACACCTTTATGCGTTCTCCATCTTCTTGCTAATACTTTAGCTGTCTTTAACATGTTACTTACTACATGTGCACAGAACGTTCTATCTAAGCGCTGTTATCTTAGAGATAAAAACCATACATTGCACTATGTTTCAGATGCAACATCTCCGTGTGCCACATCTAAGCAGCATTAATGTTGCATACTACATGCCGAAACTGTATGACAGGTCAAAGGCAACCCTTGTTCTTATTCATGGCTTCAGCATGTCCTCCCATGTCTTTACCGGCCATTTTCAAAGCCAAAATTTGACCTCGGAGATGAATCTCCTCGGTATCGATGTTATCGGTCATGGCGAGACGAGAGTCAAGAACGAGACCTTTACTTATTGGGATACAGCCATCATGATTGTCCAACTATTGGACGCCCTCAGTATCAACGAGGCATTCATACTTAGAACTAGCCACGGTGGATGTATTGCCGTTCGCACATATCTGATCGCACCCAAGAAAGTAAGTAATTCTCGTCACAAAATCTAACACTCTGTGCCAGTATTAAACTATAAGTACTACAGATCAAAGGAATCATCCCTATCGGGGCACTTATGGACTGTGAATCTAAGCGAGCGCATGATCAAGGCTGCTAGGACGCAATGGCAGGGTTTGAACCTCTGCTCAAAGCCTGGACTAGCTCAATCCCCACTCCAGATTTCGAGCTAGACGATACCTACTGTAATTTTGTTGTCGACGTCGACTTTGGCCACGACTGTCCGGATACATTGCGCGACTTCTGGAAACAAGCAATGAAGAGCTACTACTCAGGAGATGATGGACGAAGGAAACTCAGGATGGCGGCTATAAATCTACGAGACCGAGACAGCCTTCACGGCAGGCTTGCGTATGTTCATTGCCCAGTACTTTGGCTTCAAGTAGGACATTTTTGAATCCTCGCTAGTTCTTTGACCTTGACCAAGACTTACCAAACTTAGGGCACTGAAGACGCTGTGAATACAGTGGCAAACGCGAAACAAGAGATAGACCTGATCCAGAACTCGTTGGATGCTCGTTTACAGATTATAGAGGGAGGCTTACACGTTCTTAGCCACTCGCACCAAGAAGAGGTCGAACGCGCTGTAAGACAGTTTGTAGCGATGCATCACCGGGCTTAATATTGATATTGAAGAGACTGCCCAGTTATTTTTCGTTAACTACCGCCAGTACGTTGGGGATAGTGAAAGGGGGACACTGAATTGAAAGATAAGCGGGAATCATTAGTATTTGAATGATCATCGCTACTCAGGTAATCCGTGTCGTAATAACCCCTATCACGAAACACGCCTCTTTTAGGGAATTCTGATTTGCGCTCAGAACATCTGAGGAGAACCATCACGTCCGCCTCCAAGCTTCCTGCACCCTGCCCTCTACCACATCTGCTCGCGACTAGGCGACTTGTTCTTGTAGGGAACAATCTCCATTATTTGCTATCTTTTTTTCCCGCCGTCTTTTGCCTCGTCTGGAGTATCATAATGTCTGACCTCGATCGCTGCCCCCAGCATGTTCTGGGAGCATCTTAACAGATTTTACCTCTATATGAACGATCAAGAGCCTACCATCATTTGTCGGTCTTGCCAATACTCTCAGGAATTCTGTTAGCACTGTCGCGAAGTATTTTACTGAGAAGCACAACTTGCCAAAATCAACAACAGATAAAACAAGGGGCCTGTTGCGTCCTTGCTCCTTTTAGAGCCAGAAGACCTGCGATTTCGGTGAGATAGGTCCCCTCCACATCTATATCTCTGATTACAGCCTGGAATTGCTCGAAGCACTGTAATCTAAAGACTAGGAGCTACCATTTGCTTAGCTGCCATCTTTTCACGGATCATGTACTCAAGCGGAAGTCGTCGACATTGCTCGACGACCATGTGATCAGCGACTTGTTGCTGCGAAAGGGGGACTGAAACAGTACTAGCGATCACTAGATCGTCGAACTGGATCGCTCGACTGCCAAAGCTGTTGACAATAGATTGCTTCAAGATTCTACGCCACGACTTGTTTGTCTTGAGCCGTTGCAAGGTAACGAGTGGGAGCATCTGGCATCCTGGTATATGGCTACTACCGCAGAAGCTGACACTACCGGCATGACTCTTGACACGAACCGGCTGGGGCGTACTGGTCGGGCCCAAACGTTTGCAGGTACATACCGGAAGACACTTATGAAACTAGTACAAATGCCTCAGGTGTTCGAACGGGATCCCCTTCTAGGCAGCTGCAGCAGTACTGATCTACTTAATTGCAAGCAGGAAGAACAAAGGCTGGTGCTCATGGTAGCTGCTCTGGATTGAGTATTCGACTTGTGCAAAGATATTGTGAGGTGCACGGACGTCTCCATTCGGTGCTGGCCTTAGATTCAGTGCGCTGATTGACCATACAAGCCTCGATTTGACTTGGTCGGGCGTGAGAGTGCATCTTTCCAGTACCAGAGGCCGATGAAGAGATGCATGTTCTTTTGCTTCCGTCTATGGAGAACATGCAATGAAACGCGACAGCAACTGGTGAAGAGGTTCCTCACAGAAAGTGAGAGCGAGGGTCTCGCATAAGTGTGGGAGGACGAGATATAGTTGGCGTACCCTGCAATGGAAGCACATAAGACTGGAGGTTGTGAGACAGCGGCAAGATGCTCTTCAACACTGCAGAAGAAGACACGAACCGAGGGCAAGGACGATAATGATAGCCATGACGCATCGGTAAGTGCGAGCAGTAGTGAATGCTCGCTCGGAAACCAGCTCGAAGAAGAATTTAGCAGCGCCGAAGCCAATATCTCAGACAGCGATACTGGAAAAGACATCAGCAATCTGAAGTACCCAATTGCGCTTGCATAGCTCGCCTCATGGAAAATCTGTCAGTAGCTGTAGTGCTGATGCTAGTAAAGAGGTAGTTAGCTAACCTATAGACTCAAGAACATAAACACGATTCAGAAGGAGGGAGATTCAAACTGAAGTGCACATCACTCCTGCGTAAGAGGTTATTACAAGCTACGAATATGTCAGCTGAGCATCTGTAATATAACCTGGGAATCGCGACAGCACTATCCAACGCTTCTTCTTGTATGACAGTTGTGCGCGCGCGGGTCTAGGATGATCTTGGAGGCGGTGGGTCACGATGAAGCGTTGTACTGTAAATAGCAGTGGTATGTGAATTTATCCCCACTCCAAAGCGGCTTGTTGAGATTCGCTGCCGTTTACTATGGGCGAGTGTATCAGATATTGTGTGTCCATTTAAGCCCCGGCTCATCAATTTGATACCTATAACCTTCCACGAAGCACACTAAGTGGCCAAGCGACGGAATCTGAACAACTACAAGGGAGAGCCAATTTTCACTCACATTCTTTATCGGTATTGCCTCTGTAAGGGGGACACTGGCTAAAACGTTTGTCAATCGTCAAGCAAGACTTAGACTAAAGCTTAGCCGCAAGCATCATTATAAGAGAGCTCTCTAAAGAATTCTGAGATTATCTAAGGTTGGTTTAGCCTGGAAGCCAAAGTCTAAGCCAAGTACGGCATCCTGTATGATGGCACGTGCAACTTTGATCAGACTGGCTTCATGGTAAGCCAGATAGTCTCTGGAGCAGCTCTTACAGATGCAAAGAAATTAGGACGATCGGAACAAGTCCAGCTAGGCAAGCAGGAGTAGGCAACAATTATACAGGTCATTGATGCTATAGTATAGGCTATTCAAGGTCTGCAACTATCTGTCTAACTGGTACAAGGAGGAAACAGTGCCCCTAGACTAGGTATTTAGAGTTTCTCATAACAGCTAGACTACTGACAAGCTTATTCTAGACTAGATAGAGCATTTTAACAGGCACACAAAGGAACGTACTGTTAGTACCTACTGTTTTCTTATTATCAATAGTTATAAGAGCTACAACTCTCTTATGTTCTAGAAATACTGCAAGGATAGGAGGATTATTGCTTTCTATTTACCTCTTTACTTTCTACACCTTACACAGCCTCTTAATATAGGTTGTTTTGCTACTTCAAAGAAAGTGTAGAGGCGCTAAGCAAAAACCCTTATACGTAACTAGATTAAATATATTACTAAGTCTAAGTTTCTACTGTGCTTTATTTGCGCATGTAATACTGCTATTACACCTAGCAATATCTGAAAGGGTTCTGAAGCGCTAGACTAGTTCTATTTAACCTAGAATAGGTTATAAGTAGCCTTAATATAAAGCTGTATACTCTATTACTACTACTACCTGTTAAGAACAAGCTCTAGCAGTTGCAAACCCTAAGCAACACTCTTAAACTTAGGTTACAATTAATGCTTGTAAAGACAAGGATCTAGAGGTATGTAGAAAGCTTACTAATGTCTATAGTTAAAGACTCTATCTTAAAATACTCAGAAGCTGCTAAGCAAAGCAGGTAAGGCAATTGCAGTAGCTAATAAGTTACTAAAGCTGTATAACTGCAAGCAGAAAACGAGGTTATTAGTTATAATATACAAATATTACTTGTACAAAAACGCATGTAAAAGTTAATTCTAGCAAATGTTTTAGCAGCGTAGAAGGTATTAGAGCTGCGCTTAATTAGGCAGCAGCTCTACAGGCTTAATAGGCCGCTGTATTACTAGAGAAAGCAGCTAAGAAAGCAGTAGCAGCTACTTTTAATTCTATGTGTAATTTATAGCAAATGTAATTGTTATTGTTAAATAAATTACTATGCAGTTTGTAACAACGTTCTTAGTTAGGTAGCCCGAAACTATAGGTAGCCTGAAAGTAGATAGACTAGCTTAGGTACTTTTCAAATGGTGCGGACTACCTAAAGTCTAGTACGCTAGGCTGTAGCCTGCAGCCTGCTTCTGATTGGTTGTAAGGTGTGGTTAGCCAATCAAGGGCGGCTATTACATAGTCTACTAGACTTTAGGTAGTCTGCACATTTTGAAAAGCATTGTAAAATGCAGTGGCAACTTCTTAGCAAAATCATCCCACAAAATTACCGAGCACACATGTTCGACTTCTTTCACGGATTGGCAAACGACTGTATTCCGTCCCGGGCATCTACCTTTAAGGTATCTGCACCGCACACTCGCACATGGCCACGTCACATGCAGCCGTCGATCTCACGTAACAGGGTAGAGCTCCGCGCCGGCTGCATGCCGGTGACATCGAGACGAGGCTGTAAGGCTGCCCAGAGGGCTTGGTCTGGACTGCGTATTTTGAAGGTACAGACAACAACATCACCACAGAGCCTAGCCCCAGAGCAGAAGGGTGAGAGTATAAGGATTGCCCTTCATCATATCAGTGACGAACGCGTGGGGAAAAATTTATCAGGGGGTACGGACGGTACTGTTGAAGCTTGAAGTAGGTAATACACGGCCACTCAGGGAAGAAATTCCAAAACAGCGGGAATTCGAATGTAGAAAACCAGAAGACCACAGTATATTTGATCAAAAACTATGTCTGCTAGCTGAAAGCCCCGTTTTGTCCTCGTGTGACAGGCACGAGGGGAAGAACGTGATCAACAAATATTACCACACGGATGACGAAATGAGGCAGCATCAATGAAACTTAACGCTGAGAGAAAGACTCATCGCCAAATTACATCTAACGTTTAGATGCTGAGATGCGTGCGGAAAAATTCGGTGATTCTACCGAACGGAATAAGATCAACACGATCGTAGAGGTCAACATGGCCAGCACCTGGGATCCACAAAAGCTCCTTCGGTTCAGAAGCAAGTCTGTAAGCGTTCTCGCTGAACTCACGGGAATGAGCCTGGTCGCCTGAGATAAAAAGCAAAGGACGCGGCGAGATGTCCTCAATGTTGTTAAACGGGTAGAAATTCGCCAACTTTGAACTGCTTGAGAGGATTGAGCCTGTTGTCTGGTTGGCTAACGCTCCTGGAGCTGTGTACTCGCCGCGTGAAGTGCGATAAAAATCGTAGAATTCGCGCTCGATAGCGGTCGACTCGTTCGTAATAGTTAGCGGTGTGCCCAGGCCAATTTGAGTTTGGCCACCTGCCGCTTCGACCCAGCGTTGCTCTGATACTGCAGTTATGATTGCCTTGCGTTGTTCTGTGCTCCTTGAATTCCTTATGCCGTTACGAAAGGCAGAGCCCATGTCGTACATGCTTGAGGTTGCGATAGCTTTCATACGTGGATCGATCTTTGCAGCGCTAATAATGTAGGAACCACTACCACAAATGCCAAGCCCGCCGATGCGCTCACGATCAACGAAATCTAGCAGGCCGAGATAGTCTATCGCCGCACTAAAAGCTTCTGCATAGAGTTCTGGAGCTACTGCCTGACGTGGCTCCCCCTCGCTGCCACCAAAGTAAGGATGATCTAGGGCAATGGTAACAAAACCCTGTTCAGCTAACTTGGTGGCGTATAGGTTCGCACTTTGTTCTTTTACTGCTCCTGCAGGATGGCTGAGAACAATAGCTGAGTGATTGACGCTGAGATTGTCTGGAGTAAAAAGATTGCCCGCGACCAAAGTGTTGAACATGGTGGGGAACGTGATTGGTTGGATCGTTACGTTGTTGCTGCGGTAAAAATTGTCGGCTCCGAACGATACGTTTTGAGCGGTCGCTGAAGCTCCGAACATAGTTGTTATTATACCCATCTGGGTGATGGCTTTGGAAGTGGCCTTCATGTTTCTGAAACTGGTCGCTTAGCACGCTTGCAACGTAGGCTGACAGAGAAATCTGGGTGTTAGTGCTACTGCATTCCAGCGGTACATTGTTGATCTTATAGCTGAAGAGATGACGAGATACTGCAACGCCCTGGCTTACGTCAAGGCTCAGCCACGCTCGGAGATTGGCGATGAAGAAGGAAAGAAACGACCGACTCGCGAACATTGTCTTTACTAGAGTGCGCGTCTTAGTGGGTGTCATCTACGTGCGTCTCGGGAATTTGATTGGCTAAGAACTGACACGGTGATTACTGACAGCTGCGCACGATCGTCTGAAAGACAGGAAACATTGATGAGAGGGCCTAAGCGACTAGCTGAGCGCACGAAAGTGTTCGGCTAGGCGGAGACTTCTTGAATAAGCTGGGTTCATTGAGTTACGCTGGCTCATGCCCTGTTACTTGAGTGCAACGCCCAAGGTCTGCATCGACATCACTTCGGCTGGAAACTACAGACGTCACTAAGGCAAGCCGCTGACAGTCAGATAATTTAGGTAGTGTAGAGAAGGCCCAGCTTAACGAACCAGCAAATAGCGTTTTTTAAACATTCGACTTCGAGTTGGCATCACATTGCAATCGAACGTGCAAGATAAAATACTATAGTGTCCAGTGTAGGCTTTCTAAGCAGAAAGCAAGGTTAAGGGGTGCAAACTAAAGATTCTCTCATACTTATTTATAGTGTGTATTACCAAAAGTTAAGACTGTAGAGCTATACACCAGGAGCATTAGTATCCTAAGGCCTTCCAGGAGGTCCGCGCCGTAGTGGCTGTTGCCAAACAAGAAAAGAGGTAGAATGAGGGAAAGGCAGCCTGCACGTCGTGCTGTAGGTGCTCGTAGCAACTCAACCTCGCGCGTCCTTTACTAACATGCACTCACACCACCTACTGCGGCCGCACCGCTACTCTATCGGTTTGAATTGTATATAGAAGATTTTGCCGGACCGTTCATAAAGCATTCTTTCAAAATTTCTTTAAATTATCATACAGCCTCAGATTTGTGATTGCCGTAAAGGCGGTGGGTAGGCGTGCATTGGTTGAATCCGTGCATTGAGCGCATGGACATGATATAGTAGGTAATCGGCCAGACTCGATCCGCTACGCTACGGTACGGGTTAGCGTCTGTTGCGTTGCTGGAGTCATGCAGGCTGCTGACCGGCGCCAAGGTATTCCCTTGAACGTCAGCACCAGTGACTCCTCGAATACTTTCAGTGTCAGTCATAAGGCTCATTTAGCATCTGCAGGGCTGTTCACTCACACTACGCATCCTAGTGCCGTTGTCGCAGACCGATCCACTTCATGTCAGCAGTCTGCATATTTCTGCTAGATCCGTTTTCGACGAAACCCTGGCTGGGAAGCTGCAATGTCAGTAGATCACACATCAAAGTCCCTGATTGAGAGCGCCGCGCAGCGCACTAAATTAAACTGGTTGTTCCAGCGTCTTGTTTTATGTGAAAGCAGACATGACTGGACAGGTATCTCCAGTGCCACGCAAATTCCTGCAGGGAGAGTGGGCTCGACAAATGCTCCGATTGCCTGGGCTTCCACGGATTTCTAATATCGCAGGGCCTTTCGCCTGTCAACGTAACTGGTGATTTTGGCAGTCCTGCGAAGTTTGAATCTCCAAGGACTAAGAGGCTGTACGGCACTTGCGTCGAAGCGGCCACGGCCTCAATAACGCATGACGTCAAAGCCCGAAGTACAAGCTCTGATAAATCATTTCGCGAAACATGCATACACGCAAGGGAAACCAATAGTAGCGCACCTACCACTTCTTCTCAAGTACAACGTAGCCACTGCATCGTTGGCAAATGCTGCATTCTTGGGTATCACCGAAGACTTCTCCAGGTGGGAGGGGGCCTCTTCCATGAACGAGCAAGGCCTATTGTTGGGCTTAACCTCTTACGATCATTTTGCACATTAGCCAGCAACGCTGAACTACAGCCTAATGAAAAAGCAATCCGGATCGATTGCTTTACATAGTGAAGGTTACGGGAAAACATGCTCAGTGCCTTGGAGCATCCTGAGATGTGCAGTAAAGATGAGTTGTGTTGCTATATCTTTAAAAGAGATCTAATGATTATCATATACGTCAGAACTGCTTTAGACCAGTAGAGGCGAAGACAGCAGTTCAGCGAATTATCAATACATAAACTCAGGTTTCATCGTTCTAGGAGTTTCTTGACGCACCCGTCCAACTACAGAACGAAGAATGTGACAGCGGAGGGAAGCAAAAGAGTGATATCCCAGCGCAAAGATACAAAACTTAGCGCAAATGTATACTGAAGAAAGCAAAGTCACACCAAATGACAGGACAGGTGTCCCTCTCGCACCAGTCCTAATATCTACCTCCCACTCACCCCACTTCCGCTGCGCTCATACATCTCCGCACATCCATTTCCCACTCTCGGATCCTAACGTGAGCAGCCTGCTGCGTTATGGCTCAGCCTTTAATACGTTCTAAGTCAGCCTATGAGACAATGCTCACACTCCGTAGTTTATAGACCTCCGTGGAAGCTCAAGCCTTGCTTTCGTGAACCTCCATATCTGCGGCAATTTGACGATTGTCGAGTTCATTATCAGATTTATACAGCTAAAGAAATACAAGCCCTTTGTGACGCAGGACTCTTGTCTTAAACCAGTAAGGTAAGACGGTCTTCACTCGATACGCCATATGAGTGCGCGTGGGTACAGCAAAAACATAATCTAGTTCTGCACGACATTAGCAAGCGACTTTACGCTGGCGAAGTGATGATATGCCCTCGAGCGATTTCTGCTTCGTTTCCGGGAGCCAGAGAAAGATCATCACGAAAGCAAGAGCGTTCATGCCTGTGTAGAAACCGAACGTGCCCGTAGGCCCAAATGCTCGCAAATGGCGTGGGAAGGTCAAAGACACAACAGTAGCCCAAAAGTTGTTTGTGCAGACCGCCCATGACATGCCGAACTCTCTGTGCGATAGGGGAAAGACCTCGGCAGAGTACGTGAACGGAACTGGGCCCTCACCAGGAGAATAAAAGGCGTCGAACAAGTATATAAACAATGCAATCAATGCAAGATGCGCAGTGCTAGTGTCAGGTATGTAGAAACACAATCCTGTGGCTAGCAGAGTCTAGCACATGTTTGGAAACGTGAAGAGGAGCAGTGCACGACGTCCATAGGTATCAATGGTCCAGATCGCCGGCCAGGCGAAGATGAAGTTAATCAATCTGAAGCCCCATGGTGCAAGAAGAGCGCCAGTGACCGAAGCTCCTGCGTTTGCAAAGATGGTGGAAGAGTAGAATGCGATAATGTTTACTAGCCATCGTCAGTCACTGGTTTGAAAGGCTCTCAAAAGTCGCCACCTACTGCCACACATCTGCTGTCCGATCATCACAATACCAGACGCTTGTGTAGCTCTCCTAAGTCGAGGGATAGTGAAGAGCTCGGTAACACGTGTGAAGAAATTAGCGTGAACAGCAACACCGCTTTGCTCAATGACGAGCTTTTCATATTGCATGTGTGCATGGATAAAATAGGTCTCACGCGCAGCCAGCAGATTAGATCCTCTGAATCGACAAAGGGACTTGTAGGCACCCATAAATCTTCCTTTAGACATAAGCCACCTACTAGATTTCAGTAAGGTAGCTCGGAGCAAGGTCGTTTCGATCAAATACCTCGGAGACTCAGGCACGAAAAAGATGCCAAGAACAAGAGGGACTGCGGGCATAAACGCGGAGCCTAATTACAGTCTCCACGAAATGGCACCAGTGTCCTTGACAGCCAGGTTGGCTGAGGTGCCCAGAAGGATTCCGAAGGCTGTCCAAACCTGCGACGACATCACCAGCCCTCCACGGATAATGGTTTGAGCGATTTCGGCGGAGAACACAGGAACAGTCACCTCCTTGAGATCCATACCAACACCCAGGAGGAGGCGTGTGACGATTAGCTGCTGCCAGTTCTGTGTCAAAGCCATACCAACAGGTGCAAGGAGAGAGAAGACCGCGGCAATGAAGATAGTAACGCATCGTCCAAACATGTAATTAAAAGGATCGGAGATCCAGGCAGCGCTGAGAGATATTAGACGAGATGGTGAAAGTAGAAGTGTTTTAGAAGTCGCAATAGAAAGATGGCAAAGTAAGCGCAGGCGTTGATAGCACCGACAAGCCATTGGTTCCTCTCACATGTTCCGGCTAGTGCACAAGGTCCATCTGGACCCTCATCGATGCCAAAAGCAACCACAAACTATAGATTGGCGCCGTTTGAGCCAGTTTGATCCCAGCCTTGAATCGCAGCGGCGATGGAGTTGAGCAAATTGTGAGGTCCAAGATCTTTGGATGCTGTCAACGATGGGTGAACTCCCGACGCAAAGTATCTCTATGTTCGTCGTCAAATTCTTGCAAAGAGTCGACTGCAGCAGGGTTCTGTGCAGCCAGAGCGCCCTTACGCAGCAAGGGCAAGATTTCGTGTAAGTTATGTTCCCTTGCGAACTGCTCCACATCCTCCATCATCATCTCGCGGGATACGCCAACGAGCGAATTACGGATTCTATAGGGTTCTCAGGTCAACAGGTCCGTTGTAGAAGGTTCCATGACGTACTCTCCAGTAACATTGGTCGTGAGCTTTTCAACACTTCGCTTGACATTGTCTACTCTTATGTCAGTGTCAGGAAAAAAACGCGCAACAGATCGTACCCTCATTATAGATAAACTTAGTCCTACAGGAGGGAGCACTGTATTCACAGATTAATAGGAGTGTATGTCAGATCTGTAGAAGTCGTACAAACTTGTTGATTTCTGCCATTATTCTAGTCGTTTGTACTGATGCACAAAGATGCAATCAAGTAATAGAGCAGGAACAGTCAGCTTCAATCTGAATAAAAGCCTTTTGAGTCCTTTGTATTTATACTGCCGTGCAAAATTTAGCGTTGATCGATCGCTGACTGTATATGGCAGACGTGGGGACCCCGTGTTCAGCCCCTGTGAGGCTGGAGATGATTCGAAGACTAGCTGACTCTGGCGCGCAGGGTGTTATTTCTCATTAACTCGATTTACAAGCCCAATTTTCAAGTTCTCGATTCTTAGCCAAAACTCCACCTCCAGGATGCGGCTTACGCTATTGAAGTAGCAGCTAACACATAACCATCTTCTCAATACTTGGCAGTGCCTCGATTGATGTGCAGGACGAGGACATGCCGTCCCAACATGCAAGACCAATGGTCAGTGGCTTTGCGTATTGAAACTGAGTCTGTTTAGTGGGGCAACAATTTAAGGACCTCAGTACGTCATAGTCGGTAGTCATTCCCATCGACGACAGCATGCAATCACTTTGGTGGTTGACTACACAGCGCAGTCGCCAAAGCACATCACCAGCATAATCTCCGACTGGCTCAACAACTTAGGAGGGGGATAGTCGTTGACTGTCAGATTGAATTCCTGAATTGACAGCACAGAAACGTTCGCTTTGTGAAACAATGATCGTTGTGATCAGGGTCCAGCTTGGGTCCGCTGGACCGGGTAAACAAACACAAGGTCATAACGTTCGCTCAACAGCGAACCCTCGGGCAAGATAGTACTTTTCGAGATCAGAGGTAGCCTTGACCTCACAGAATCAGCCTCATGTGGGATCGGACAGTTGTGCCCGTTGTGTCGTAGGTTGCGGCCAAGCTGCATCGAACAGATATTCTACAAATCTCATGGACTAAAGCAGTGATTTAGTATGTATGCATGTATCTTGTACCACACAAGAAGTAAGATAAGAAAGAGGAAGTCAATTCTCTTGGTATAGAGAGAATGAAAGCCGGGTTGATCCTTCCTCACGCCGCACAAGGTCATAGTTGTGATTCGTAAAAGGTTCAGCTCTCGAAAGTAGACTGTAGTCGTTCATACGCAAGCACTGAAGAACCACAGTCTTGATGTGCGAGATGTCACGTTAGTGTACAATGCTAATGGAAATGTTATCCTGATATGTCTCCTGATACTGTATGTATGCGGACCCCATCAACACAGAAGTCTACCTTCTCACCATAGAAGCACAAACACCCTGCAATCAGTGCGCTTTCGTAGACCGGAAATAAGTAGCACCAGGCAAGGTCTTTGTAAATTTCCCCCCTAACATGGACATTGTAGTATGTTGCTCTTCCTTTGTAGGGACAGTATGTCTCAGTGTCGCTTTTGCTGAGATGCTCCCACTGGATATCAGTCGATAGCAGGTAGTATTGCGGTCGAAGTGAAGTCTCTAGCAACAGAAGAGGACTGCGGCTCTCGGCTAGGGTGACGCCAGCTAGTGTAACTTGGATCCTTCGCGTGGTGCGCAGAACGTCAATCCTTTTGTATGGATCTTTCGGCTGTCCATATATTGGTTCGTTTTCTTCAAACCACTGGTCAAGTTCGCCAAAGTCTACCATAACAAGATTATCCAGCTCCTGAGTGTTGAATATTAGAACGCGGTCTGTACTTTTATCTCCTACGGTCAAGCGAGCGAGATAGGCGCTGTCTCCTGTATCCATGATTGGAGACATCTTTATCAATATCGCATTAGACGCAAAACTTGCTGCTGGTACGAAGTATCTGGGATCAGTGAATTGTCAGTCAATTCGAGAGCTTCCTAGTCAGCGTTGACGTACCGAGGACGGTAAGGGCGTTCCCAGACGAAGTAGGCATCGAGGGTATCAAATGCGTACTTGCCATTGAACACACCCCGCACACGCCGTTGAGCGGGCTGATATCTGAAAGGCTCTCCCGATGTCAACGTTTGGGCTAGCTCAGTAAGACTAAATGAAGTTAGAGTAGTCGCAAGGAGTGTGTTGTTCAAAGGCAAATTACTTGATCTCTTGCTCTCCTATCATGATGTGTAAAGTTTTCTTTGCTCCGCAGGGCAAGGGAGCATCTGGATCTCGATGGGCCTGTTAATGGAGGTCCTTGGTAAGTTCGAATTCAACAAGTAGACAGCCTCGAGTGTCTCCTTGATCTCTTTTAAATAATCAGAACTCACGTAAGTAGCACAGTCCACATTGTCTCAAGGTCACGCTTATATTCGAGGTCACGCTTATACGAAGCCAAGTAATTAGTATAGGTTGGCAAATCCTGACACTAATCAACATGCTTTCTTTGTTAGGTGCTGTAAAGTACCACTGAGTATAATTTCAATAACGCACGCCCCAATATAGGAAGTGCGGAGGGACAAAAAGGCTAGAACAGCGCCCTGCCAAGACTGGGAGTGATCTCATTAGTTTTTGTGGCTTTGCAACTTTGGTTTTCCAAGTGTTGGTACAGTACTTTGCAAAACCGCCCTTACCCTTTGCGCAAACAATGATTCTGTAGGACTCGTGTCAGTCTAGGATATACCTTGCTTATCACACCCGACTGCTTGGTACCGAGTCTGGCTGGACTTAGGTAAGCTACCTGTAAAGCATGTTACTTGCTCGTTTGAAGCTAGCGGTCATCGGTAGCTGATGATTGGTCCTAGCTTGCAAGGAGCATCCCAAACTGCTAGTGACTCTGACCAAAGGGCGATGCAGCCGAGGGTAAGGGCGGTTTTGCAAATTACTGTAGGGTTGACACGCGCGCCGACACAGCAGTCTTGTCTGCAATCCGCTGACTTCTTAAATCCGTCTGACAGCCCAGTGCTGCAGGGCCCTGCTAGCGCCTGTGGCGCATGCACGTCCTTGTAACCTCTGCAAACAGCCGTTATGCAGTGTGTGCGCATGTAATCCACTATCACCGTTCTGTAGGGTCTTTGGTGCGAATAATTCTATATCGCATTTCGCACCTTGCATTTCGTATTTCACATCGTATATTTCCCTCGCGTCCTACATCTAACCTTTAGTAGATCAGGCTAAATAAGCCAGGGCGACACATGAAGATAGTCTCGCTGTTTTGCTAGTCTCTGAAAATATCACCTGTCCACAAGATGCGAATACCCCAGTCTGGGTTCGAGGGTCACAGGAGATTCGCCACTGACAGCAACTGTGATGCATGCTGGAGGCATTTATCGAAATGCCTGCTTCTTCAGAGTGTCTTTCTATCATTCTGTATGAAGTGCAGCGTAATATTCATTCTCTCCGAAATCTTACGAAGTTTTGTTGAACAGCTACTGTTCAAGTATGCAGTCAAGCCTAGCGCAAGAAAGAGGTATCAGAGAGCGTCCGCACAGTTGTGTCATGGTTTCACTGATAACGTCAGATTGATGATCTTCTACCCGTCTTGTCAGGACGACTCAGTGTGTTAACATGACATCTTTAGCTGCATGCCTGGGGCGATGTAGAACCCCTAGACTTTTGAAATCCGCCGAGATGTTCCCAAACCTCTTAAAAACTCATACGAAATGGAGCCTTTATAGAGCGCACAAGTACCAACAAATCTGACACACAATGAGGCATTTTATGTGCATCACTACACCAAGCATCTTAGCTATTCGCTCGACTGTACAGATGCTATGCCCCAGTTCATACTGAAAATACCAACCGAACTGGAGCACTGCTGTATCCTTCGCTATGCAGTGTTTGCGTGTGCCGCTCGGCACCGTGGAGACAACAAATCTGCTGAACATGTACATCAGCGATGTATTAAACTACTCGTCAGGCGCCTTGGAAAAACTCCTATGACCCATCACAACAAGCTCTTGTGCGCCATAGATATTCTGTGCATATACGAACAGCTCTGTGGTATGTAAATCATCTTTTCATGGTAGATTGTCCCCAGGCCCAGCCAATTATTGAAAAGCATTTAGCTGGATAATTAGCTATCTTAGACAGCCTATAGAACGATCGATCTATCGATCTCTCGGCACTGGTATTATACGATGCTGCGTTCTAGGCCTACATCTGTCAATCTCTATGCAATAGTATTGTCAGAAGGAGACTACTGAATTTAGGCTTCTCACCAACGGTCCTTTCAGCCCAGATCTCGACACACGATCCGGATTCTCTAGCAGGCTTCAGACTTGACACAGCTTGGGCTAATCAAGCTGCTTGAAATATGGCAAGCACCTATGAGTGGCAATGGTTCTGGGACTTAACCCAAGATTAGAGTAAAGAAAGGCTAATCAGCTTCAACGAGCTTTCGTCATGTTCTACTGGAGCAAACAGTGCGTTTCCTGTAGTATGGTTTGTTGCAAGATAGCACGGAAAGTCGTCCACCGGTGGACAGCTCACATTGACTAAACTGTATACAGCATTAGCATTTCAAATTTTCCATTTCTTCAATGTACTACTGCTGAACCAGCCTCCGGCGAATTCCAGTCAACGGCCAGAGTTCTCGGTCACACAAGGGAGGCAGGAATCAGTGCACAACAAAGATTAGTCTGTACAAATAACACGCTCTAGAGCGACTTTCTTGACCATGTGCGAGCTAGGTGCGGTGTCTGCATAGGCTTTTCTGAGGCAGCGCTAATTACCTGACCTCAGGCATTGCATTGTCTAACGTCTCCAGGACAAGGCAGCCGTGAGCCTGACTATAATGACGACGATGGAACGCATTCACTTGTCAATTGTTGTTAAGAGGATCAAGGTATTGAGCTGGCAAAAAGAAGCCATGCCGGGTGGGCTAGCCCGTCTAGAACGAGGCTAGTGTCTTATAGTAAAGTGATAAAATCGCGAGCGCAAAAACGAGATATGATTCCAGGCAACGGTCGAAAGAAGCTGCGCTTCATAACCATTCTCTGCAGGGTAACTCGTCAAGAATAAACAAAATTGACGGACAAGTAGCATATTCAAGATGCTCAAGAGTATGTATGTCCAGGCAAGCGTAGACACAAGGGAGAGAGCAAGGCAGCAGAGACAATTGTCTGCACCCTTCCGACCTGCGTCTAACTGTTAGCTAGACTCTGCCAACAACGACCGCAGCTGTCCTCGGCTAAATATCGGTCTTATGCACGCTGCTGACAGCACCAGTCCGCACTGACATTCTCTGTCAAGCGCCTTACTAGATTCTACACTGGGCTACTTGTGTGGATCATTGTAATCATTCGCCTGCACTGAGCGTTCAGTGACCTGTTACATAAGAAAGGAGAGCAAATCTGTATTTTTGCCCGCTCCAGCACCCTGTGTGCTCCGATTCAAGCACCCGAAGTGATTTCAGATACGATCAGCTGACGAATCCAGTGCAAATCGATAGACAAGTTCACCCAATACTGCAAAAACAATGCATTAACATCATTTCGGAAGCTCCAGTACCAGCAAGGGCCCACAATCTATCTCAGCACCGCTATTATATATATTAACACCTATTCCGCCACTGCCAGAACACAATTGCAAGTCCTACACCACAGTTCTTCTACACCAACACGTGTGAAAAAGCACTATCCCAAGATCTCAACATGAGAGCTTCTGCCTCTATCCTCATGGTTGTCATGGCCACTTCTGGTCTAGCCGCCTCGATTCAAATCCGTCAGAACCAATGGGGTCCTAACACCTGCCCCACGAAGGCGCAGTGCGAAGCGTCTTGCAAAGCTGTGGGACTAGTGGGTTTTCTTTTTACCTACTTATTATGAATTTCGGCAATCTGATGTGTCCTAGGTATACGCTGCTCATAGTTGCAACAATGCTTGGACGAATTGTGCGTGCAATTATGCGTAGCTTTACAGCAACAACGGGATGTTGTAGCAATACTGCTAGATATGGGAGCACGCTAGATATGGGAGCACGCGTAGTGTGGATCAAGGAGCTTCGTTTAGTGGCGGTATGAAGGATTAGCCTTACTGGCATTCTTTTTGTTATAATAGCCCTGCGAACAGATCGAATGCATCTCTGCGGCGTAATCCTAGTTTGTATAGGAAATTGCTTATAACTGCGACTTGTTCCTTGTAAAACCGACCGCTGTCGGCCATCTTTGGCCGTGCGCTAAAGGAATACACTCCCTCTTTCTTTGCCCCTGCAAAAGGAACGCGCTCTCTTGTTCTTTGCTAATTGCTACAGCTCTTAGCGCGTCTGCGACGCGTCCCTTACGCCGCTAAGCTGCAATAGAAGGCAAAGAATAACAAACCTGCATTGCGCAGAAACCCGCTGCTTTTCTTTCCCTTTCTCTTGTCCCTCCCTTTGCTGCTGCTTTGCTTAGCCTGCTACCCTAGCTGCCTCTTCTGTTGTTATCTGTTACTGTGCCGCTACTAGACGCCAGCGCTTCCTCTCTCCAGCGACTTCCTGCTTTGCCGCAGCTGCCGAATCGCTGTCCCTACTGCTACTCTAGCCTTCCACTTTAGCTGCACCCGGACCCACGCTTATAAGCAGCAGGATTGCAGGCGCCTGCTTGAAGCCTGGCTAGCTATCTACGAAGAAGACTGCCCTCTGCGCGTGCGCACTGAGCTTAACGCTGCAGGCACCTTCCGGCTGGCCACGGCTGCAACGCGGGAGTCTTGGTTCATCGTAATGCATCCCATTGCCAACACGCCAGAAGAGCTTCTGTCAAGAAGCGCACGTCGCAAGCGTCGCGAGAAGTCATCCCAACATAGCGCCTACCTACCTCCACGCGAACATCACGATTAGGGTCCGAGTCGTCCCTAATCTGGACTAGTCCGCGACTTTGGGGGCGACTCGCCCCCCGATTCGCGCTAGTGACGACTTTGTTATCGCCTATCTAGGCTTAGCGCAGCCTTATCGAAGCGCATCATGTCTTGCACCTGTACTAGTAGGCACCTAAGAAATGACAGCTCTATATGGTCTGGCGCCCCGCAATGTTAATGAATTGAATCTCTGCAATGTCAAACTTTCCCGTAGAAAGCTCCCATATCAAGAGCACCTTCGCGCTCTCCTCAAAGACGACCTATGAAACAGTTTGTGTAGAGAATACTCCGTCCCTGGGTGTTCATAATCGCTAATTGACATCAAAGGCCTCTGGTACGGAGTACTAAATGTTTGGAAGACTGTTCAACACTCTCAGTATCCAGAGAAACGCTGGAATGAGGATCCACTGGACGGACAATTTGAACAACTATCTACGGCTAGTGGGTGATGATACAGAGCTCTGCATCCTCCATCAAGGGTAGCAGCAGCGGACTGGATGCGCTAAGTTTCTGCATAAGCCGTACTACTCGTACATTGCGGTGGAGAGGGCCCCATTCTTGATCATCGCATATTTACTATCACAGCATAATCTAGCACCGCAAAACAATGCAGTTTGATGGCCATTACTGGAACGACCGGGATTGGAAGACAGCTGCTCTGGAATGCGTCACCGTCGCAAGCTAAGCGCCAAGATAAATGCCAAGCTTCTCAACCTTACGCGAATGTTGCCTGACGTCGCATTTTGGCTTCAAACCGGCCCTGCCCACGGGATGTAATGCGCCAAGTCGACCGTTGGTATAAGGACGGCCGCGGTCGGATCAACCATCACCGCTGTGGCGCGTCGCGGGATGATCAAAGTTCGTGCTTTCACGCCAACGCGTCGCTCTCACGTCGCAATCCTCGTGTCTGTTCAATATGTGAAAGGCCTTCACGCTTCCCGTCCGCCAACGTTAAACTGAACCCGCTGAACCGAACGCGCTGGACCTCTGTGACGCTCTCATGTACCGTACATCGTTACGAAGGCAGAAGCAAGACTACTGAAGGTTCAGTCATTACGAGACGAGGCTGGAATTCGACGCGATGCGGATTGACGGTTCAGCCGTATATGCGGAGAAGATCGACGGGACTCTGACCTAGCTGAGAGTCCAATTTCTTCCCCTCACTCTTTCGTCTGATCACTCTGAAAGGCTGTTGAATGATGGTGAATCCTCATAATCAACGTCATCATCCGCAACGCGTTTCGCTGCTCTCCCTTCCTGCTCCGCGTACTGTGCCTCATCGCCTGATCTCATCTCTTCAGGAGGTGTTTCCGACCGTTTCCTTTTCATAACCACTCTAGCAAATGAATGCTTGCGCAGTGCCCGTTGAGCTCTGCTCTCTGCGACAGCAAGATATTGGCAAAGCTGTTTCCCGGTGATCTGTATCTCTGTATTATCGCTACCTAATTCCTCTCGCACAAGTTCTTCACAGGTGAAATCGCTGAGGCAGAGCCGTAGGCCAAGGGATTCGATGGGGATTCCTTCATCGTCACGGGAAATCTAGTAGGTAAGAGAATTAGGACACAAATTGCCTTGAAGTTTTCGAGATGTTATTTACCTCATCCGCGACCTCTTCGACAGCTCGTAATTCAGGCCCGTCAGCAGTTTCAAACAGTCTGGGTCGCCAGACTGACAAAGCCGCCTTGCGTGACTCTTTGCCATAGTCGATATCCAGACCAACGACGACCCGTACGCTAGCGTCCGAGTCCAAAAGATAATTCTCGGCCAACCGGCCTAGACGCTTCTTCTTTTGTGAGTATGCGACCTCGATAATGACGCCCGGATATTCTGCATCGTCATGTATAAACGACGCGTCCGACTCGTACTTTGATTTGCTAGAGGAGGCGCTAGCAGAGAACCGTAATTCGGTCGACCGGGCTGGCTGCACCTTCTGCGCGAATCGAGCGTTTCTGTCAGATCCACCACGGATCCCTTTCAACTGGGAGCGAATGTCATCCTCCAGCTTATCGATGAACAGCTCATGTATCGCAGTAGGCATGCGAACGACTAGTCTGCGCTTGTCTTCGTCGTAGTCATACCTGCCAGAACTTACTATTAGCCACGATCTCCCGAACTGCAGGGTTTACTGACCGTATTTTGTCGTTCACGAAACCCCAGAGCACCTTGTCTTGACGGATTGTATCCTGGATTCGATCGAAATCGCCTTGTGCAAGTTGAAATTCTATCCACGGACCGCAATTTGTGTGTGTTCCTGCTTGGATCTGTCTGAAAAGCGCTATGACGCGAAGCGGTCCTGCAGTGGATTTCTTGTTGGTCGACGGAGGCGTCAAAAGCTGGTGCGTACAATTAGGCGGCGGCGTGACGCGATGATGCTGCGCTACATCAGTTTGCGAATTCGACATTGTCGTATGCTGTGCTGCATTGTGGAGTTGTTCGATGGTGGATCGTTCGCACGCAACTAACGAGGCGTTCAGAACTTAGGCGCTTTGGTTGACTCAGCAACACCGACGCGGGCCCGTGCACGAAATGCGCGCGCGCATCATCAACCGCGAGAGCAAGGATTTCAATTGTTGCAATCAGCGTAATTCAAAGCGCGCAAAATATCCAATAGCGATGTCCGTCGATCAGCTGGCATTCAGCAGTGTCCACTGCTGCTGAGGCATCATGGCGACACTGTGGCCTCGACGATGGACTCGGCCAATCCCAATGACGAGCATGCTTCCAACCTCAGCGCTTCCCTGCGCGAGGTGCTGTTGCTGATCGAGCGCAACGGAGGACCGAGTCCTCGAGCCCAGCCAAAGTGCGGGGAAAGTCACCGTAGGCGTGGGCCATGCCGCCACCACCCCACCATGCTCGGCCAAGGCCAGAAATTGGCGGGCCCTCGGCGGCAAACATCCCGCGACATCCCTACCCTGATTATCCACAACATCGATTTCCACTTGAATAGCCGCACCGTAATACTACGCATTTGTCTGCCTCACGAAGCACGACGTCCGAGTGGCACAGCGACCCCGGTGCGCATCTACGGAAGGCACGACATCTCGCCAGCCTCAATTTGGAGGCGTTGAAACACCTAGATTTAGGTCAACGCACAGCCTCCATGCGGCAAGAAGTGCAAAGCATTAGCGGCTTCAACTGGGCGTATCTCATGACTATGAACCGTTGGCCATATCGCGGGTCATGTCCCCGGTTTGGTGTCGCGAATGTCATGTCGCGTCGCGCCGCGTCCCAGCGCGTGGTACCGAACGGTCGACATGTGGCCCCCCCTGAAGAGGATGACACTAAGCTGCTTACGCGTGGTGTCCTCTGTCACGGTCAAATCGTATGCGTAAGCGTATGTGCTACATGAGCCTTTCTTGTTCTAGTCGATCACCAAACTAATTACAGTCAGTGGACAAAAGTCTTGTCGCACCGGCGCGCTCAGGCCACCACCACCACTTTTGAGTGAATGTTCACAACGCTTTATCTCAACAACTACAGTCGCTTGCAGTTGCAGTTTCCGCTTGTTGCAAGTCGCCCGGTTTCTTATCCCACGCTGCTGCCTGCCTCGCTTACCGGGCACTTGTCCTCATTATCTTAGTGGCTAGTCAGACATCTCGCCTATTGGTGCAGGGAGCTTTTACACTGTCGCCGGCAGGGAAGCCTAGCTTCGAATGGAAAAGGCTGACTTTAAGCGAGACAAGGCTAGCGTGGGGTGAAAGAAAGTTTGCTCACAGAAAGCGGAAACTGCAACTGTAAGCGACTGTAACAACAGCGATATCAAAGATAGAAGACGCATCGCAGTTGGCGGATGTTGCAAAAGAAACCTTTACAACAGTAGCATTACTGTTCGCCTATCGGACGCAGCACGAGTCTGCGTGTTGCCTTTCCATTGCACTCCCACATCATCAACTTCCGCCTAAGAGCGAAGGACTCAAAGAGTGCCGTTGTGCATTGTTGAGGCGGCTGCAGACCTGGCTTCGCTCTTGCTGTTTGACCCTTTGAGAAACGTAGAAGCTCGAAGAGCATCAGCTTGGATCTTCCAAAGTGGTGCAGCAAGATCAATAAGCTGTGGTCTGAACTCTGCCAGCATCTTGCAAACTTAATCTTTAGATACGTAAGGACAAGTTAAGAGCCCTTTATCTAACTAGAAAGTTGCGTCCTTCTATTATTTCTTCTATTTAACAACAGCTAATTGCATCTCTTTACTCTGCGTATCTACCTTTATTGCTACTATATAGAAAGAAGAAGTAATTGCATACTTTGTTTTTAACTTAAAAAAGCGCACACTTAAGCACTTTGTAAACGTGCAGATAACCTTAGCAGTATTAAATAATTCTAGCTTGTACATAACTAGAACAAGTAACTCTTAATTGCGTAAACGCTAAAGTGCAAAAACTAACTAGCTCATAGCTAACTGTAGCCTCTTATGCAACTTATAATGTTTAGCACTAGCATGCGCCTATTAAGTTGTTGCACCTGTTGCGCTACAGAACACAAGGTCGAACGTCTTGTTCTAGAACAGTCTATTTAAACAGAACTTTGCAATGTCTAGATGTTAAGTTAGTATAGATGTTGTTAGCTGTCCTATCTTGTTTACTAGCATCGTGATATTAGCAAACTCTATACAAACTCTTAAATCGTCCCTCTATCCTGGCAGCATAACTTGCAGACCTTTTAACTCTGATAGCAATGTAATACCCTGTATCCTGGCGCTGAGATGTCTACGAAGCACAGTGTAAGTGAACCCACCTAGGGCTATACTGATATCCAGGACTCTTAGGGACTAACTTGCATCAGCTGCTGCGAGTGTAATAACTAATGTACTCTTATCCATCTCCTGTCTAATCTCACATGTCATTTTAAAGAAGCTTTGCAATCGCTTCTGTGTCTTGTTAGCGTTGTTAGATTGTGCACAACAAGCTTAGAAAAACTAATCGCCCTTAGGGGTGTTCCAACCCTTATAGTATATAAGCAAAGGTCTAGATATCATTTTCTCTTACATACCTTGAATTAAAGATCAGTCAGTTCTTTAAAGATCTAACTGTTCTCTGCTAGATACCATGCAATGATCACCGACACTGAGGCTTCCTTAGGTGGCAAGGTGCTGCGCATCATCTCCTCCACGTCTGGGTTCATGATTGGAGGGTTGCTGAATTGTAGTCCGGATGACTAAATGAGATAGATCTAGCGTTTGAGGCTGGCTGAAGGTTATCAAAGGACGGAAAAAGGGATGGAAGCATCTACGTCCCTAGGGTTTCAACGATATCACGGGTGTTGCGCTTCGAACAACGTTGTCGTAAAAGCCCCACCTTCACGTGCAGCGGTTTTCGCCCAGCTGCGGGGTACGCAGGAGACCGTACGACGTGATGATATGACGCCAAAGACCACGTACAGCGCGCGCATGCATGAAAAATGCATCTCTGACGTGGATAGCTTGAGACCAGTCGAATCAGCCTGACACAACCATCCATGTCAGTGCTCTATGAGGGGAGTCGTTAACGGTGAGGAGCCTTCTGTAATTGCGAAAATGAAGAACAGATAAATTAACAAGTTTTACGATACCAAAGCTTGTTGAGTACCGTATCGTGTCGTCCCTGTGCAGTTTCTCAACTACTAGCGGCTACCGGTTGGTTATCCAGGTGCTACGAAAGGCAACCCAATAGACTATGCAAATCTACGAGCGAGTGAGCCTGACGAATGATGTCTTAGCAACACACCAAAGATAGAGCGCCTTTCTCCACTACGGTACCACCTTCTCGGATGCACTTGACAGCTGGCGGGTCACACGGCCTTTCGAACGTACACTGCGTCTCGACATACTATTCGACAACAGAAGTTGTACCTGACGATAATGGACCGCATAAATGACAGACGAAAGCAGCATACCAGACAGGATAGCCCCTTCAGTATCGGATTATCGTCATTGAGCGATTCAGATGTTGCGGGATGGGGTAGGATTTTCGCCCTCGTACCTGCTCTTAGGTATGACTCTTCCGCTTGAACGTCCAAACTTGCCGGTCTGGAGTGTGGCGTATCGTTACAACAAGCGACTGGGGACATGAAAGCGGTAGTGGTTCCAAGAATAATATGACTTAGTGAAAAAAGTTGCATCTGTTCAGGTCGTTGTAGTGTAGTGCTTGAGAAAGCACCTCATGCGCTGCTATAACGTGCGAACGTAGGATCTTGTGAACCGCATGAGCTTCCAATGTTACACAGAATCGCACGTTCACAAAGGGAAGCAAGAGTACAGACCCTATCATCAGGGATCTTCTGACGTCAGGGTGCACGAAGAGAGCGGGGTCATCGGCTGCCCAGTGAACCCTGATCATTATATTTCACCACTGACCCTCGCAAGCTCCATTGTTTTGCGTCGTGTTATACTGTACCTTATTTTGCATAGAAATGTTTGATCAATCCAACATGAAATCCACCTCTTCATTGGCGAAAGAATGGGCAACTCTCGGAAGAGACCTATACTCAGTTTCGAGTGCAGAGGAAAAGGAGGTGGCCGATTTTGTATGAAACAGCCTCTTTGAAGGGGACGCGGAAGGCAAAGATCACTTTGTGGAATGTTTCTTTGAAAACAAACGTCCTACTGGGCAACGTCAACTCCAAACCAACAAGGAAGAATGCCAGATAACTGGAAGTGAGGGTAAGTTCCACCAAATCATAGGATTAGACGACAAAGATCACGAACTGATCCTGCTAATTGGGCTTTCCGATGGCTTGAACGTCAGAGAGTTCGTCGTCATATTGAACACACTCCCTTCAGAGATCTCAGCGCTAGCGATGCTGAGACATCAGGTAGAAACATTCTTCAGTTTTGGGCCTGATTTGGCGTCGTTTGTCTTCGGGAAACTTCAGGGATTTGCGGACGCGGGATCGAATAAGCTGACCCAGTCGAAGTTCAATGTTGTCCTATCTGGGATTAACTCAAGACCGTTATCGCAGTGGTCTTCACTTTACCCTTAGAATTCTTGCAAAATGGCGGCAACACTAGTACTTCTCTTTGCAGCTCCACGGGACAGTGAATCTCTATTCTCTGCTGTAAAGACACAGTCTCGCTCTCTCGGCGGTCTTCCGACATTGGATCATATACTTAGAACACCGTCTGCGTCGCTCGACACTGCGTATCGAAGAGCTAAGCAAGATGCTTTCGGAGACGGAAAACGTACGACGGTCATGTCAGTAAACCTGACAGACGTGCATATCTTTGAGCTTGTGGAGCAGGGCAGAGCTCAACTACATTTTAGTTTTGCACACGTGTTCGTTATTGCTGTCGGCCCAGAAGGAGCGGTCATTTGGCAGTCGTGGGGGAAATTTGGCTATCGGCTGGACGAATATCTCAACCGAGGTGGAGAACGGCTCCGGGATTGGCAAGAAGCGGACCAGTTTGTGAACGACTTCACACAAGTAGTCAGTGGCAAGGTAAGTGAGAACCCCGCGTTGCCTACGTCTGTGCTCAGTCTGTGTAGGGTATCTGGACGGCCAAGCGGAACAAACTCTACGAAAAATTGTTTCACATCGACCTCAACCAGAAAGTACTGACAGCAGACGCTGAGGGATCTGCTTGGACAATCCAATATCCATACGTCCCGTTGCGGTCCCAACTTTGGAGCATCAGGCCATCGACTCCATGCTTGCGAAGCCATGTCGATGTCTTCCGCTTTACGCCGTGTTCCTTCGACAGATGGCGTCTCAAGATTTCAACGCTCGTTGTCTTCTGTCCACAGTGCTTGCACATCATGCCAAGATGCTTGAAGAGATGCGGGTGGGGAGGGGAATGATCTGGTCGCAGGCGAAGCTCCTTCGGTCCTAGGATGGTGAATGGTCTCAAGAGTCGGCTTAGCTCTCTTGCTGAATCCTTGGAGTATTGATGTTTATCTACAACATGGTCTACAAGCGGCTTGATAGAGCCGCTGAGCGCAAACTGGCATATACGACAGATGATGACAGGTTCCGGCTCATTGAAGTAGAGATTAAGTTGTTCTAAAAGCTCCGTTACAGGTTGCGCAGGAGCGAAGGATTGACTCGCCATGGCGACCGTTTAGCGAAGAGACGTTCTGACATGCAACGTCTGACTCAACAAGCGACCTTCAGAGGGACGCACTGTTGGCACGTTGATGTGAAGAGAAGAACTTGTGGCAATCACGCGTGGTAAAAGTATTGAAGGGGTGGCCCGTGCACGGGGCGCGTTCCCGAAAGTAGCTTAGTTTTGGAATGGGGGGGCATTCCGTAACGGAATACCTGAGTAGGGCCCACCGCCCACCCTCTTAACTTAAGCATCTTAGTTAATTTAACTACCCTAGTTATTTATTATCTTTTCTCTATATAACTTCTTCTAGCTTGTATTAGTTCCTAGTTTGCTTTTTTTTTTTTTTTTAGTACTTCTTAGTAAAATAGCTTTTTACTTAGCTTTTATTTTATACTTTAGTTTTTTATAAACTTAGAAATAGACACAACTTACTACCTAAATTATAGATACTCTAACTATAGCTTAGTTTAACTTTTACTTTCTATTCTTTCTACTCTATATATACTACTTTTCTATTTCTTTTCTATTTCTCTTATTCTATTCTTCTATACTCTTCTATTTCTCTTGTTCTACTCTTCTATACTCTTTTTCTTCTTCTATTATATAATTCTATACTTTTCTTCTTGTTTTCTCTAGATTTCTATAAATATGCTTTGCTATGTTATATAATTTAATACATCTTGCTTTAAGCTCTATATTTTCTTATCTCTCCTGATTACTATTTAGAGTATTTTTAAGCTATTGTTTAGCCCTAAAATACTATTTTACATACTTAACTATTAGCTTTATTATCTTATTAGCTTTTCAATATTAATATAGAACTCTATGCTATTATAAATTACTATTTAAACTTTCTAAGATTACTATGTACACTATTTAAGATTACTATTTAAACTGTCTAAAATTACATTTAAGCTTGTTATTACTCTATTACCTTGTCCTTGCTACTTTAGCTTAACTATCTTTAAATTTAAATATACCTTATTATTCTATTTTGTTTTAACTAACTTACTCTATTAAAACTTAAAAATTTATATAAACCTATAATCCTGTTTGAATCTATACAATTTATTTTAACCTATAACCCTGTTTAAATCTCTAAACTCTATTAATATCTCTATCTTTGTCTAGTTTAGCAATTCTACACTAGATAGTTCTAATAAATAAAACACTATCTATATATAGTAGTTACTAGACTATACTTAATAAATCTAGTTTATACTATAAGTTCTCTATATTTACTTGAATTATTTATAGCTTTTCCTTAATATAACAAGCTTTAAGTAGTTAAATTAACCTATAACCCTAAATAAACTAAACATCAAGCTTATATATTATCTTTAAAAGTTAAACTCTATATTCTTGATATGATTTATTATAGGTATCAAGTATATAGTAGTTATATGTTTCTTTATAAACTATATACTTTATAGAAATATTAAGTAATACTATTAGTTATTATAGTTACTAGAAAAAATAAAGTATCTTTAAAATGCTCTAGACAGTATAAAAAGAATAGATATAACCCTAACTCTAATATAAACAAGGTCTCTAAATAACATTATAAGTTATTTAACTCTATGCAGCGCTAGCATATAGCAGTATATAGCAGACTGTAGTAGACTATAGCAGACTGTAGCAGACTATAGTGTGGTCTTGGCAAAAGTAGACAAGCTGCCTGTGTAGACAACTTGTCTGTGAGGTACGTTGCGAGTTTCTGCGGCACAGTTGACTAAAAATAGCTTTATCTCTTTATAAGAACATCCGAGACACATTAGCTGCAGAGGCCTACTTAACCTACCCTCTCCTCTAGATCCTCTGAATCGCTTCTTTGCTTCCTCCACAAACATGTTCACAACTACCTCCTGTGTCCTAACAGCCCTTACAAGCCTGCAGTCGCTGCCGGTAGAAGTGCTAAGGAATATCGCTCTTTACCTACCCTCTAGCGCAGCCCTTGCGTTCACTCTTACCTGCCGCTCTATTTATACCGCGTGCGATGATTAGGCTACATAGAAAGCTCTTCTTGCTGCCTAACCTATACTAGCGCATTCTTACCGCACTATCTTGTCTTCGCGTCCTGCGTTAGAGACGTGGAAGCGCTATATCGTGGCTGATGCTTTAGCTTATAAGCGCTAACCACTTAACAGGAAAGATATAGAGCGCTGGCTACTATACTTGATTGCTATGCACTATATGTTATATAAAACTAACGCTTGTCGCAAAGTAGCCTGCTATTAGCTAACAACACAACCTTTGCCTGCGTAGATCCTGTCTTCTAGTCCGCAGATACAGTTATCCTCTACCAGCTGTGCAATGTTATCTGCAGCGCTTCTGTTCCCACTAACGCTGCTGTAGGCAACTGCACCAAAGCAACGCCAACTTCTACCACAAGCCTAGAGTGCTTAAGTAATACTTATGCTTGGCGCCTTACACAAGCTGCTAGCTTCTGTCTCTCTGCTCAAATGCTCTCTAGGCATACGCCTCGCAACAATAAGAAACCACCATGTCTTGTGCAGACTATGCGGTGGTTGCCTCTTGCTAACCACATTAGACATGGCAGCAAGACAACAAATCCGCAGCGTTAGGCTGTCATTCTCCACGCCCTAGCGAATCGCGTGGTGGGATTCTTCTATAGGGAGCTGTGTTAGGCGCTTGCGCACAATGCTACATGCACTGGAAGCGTGGCTGGGCTTTTGCTGCTGCCAGCTACCTATATAATCCCCTTGCCCACGCTCTATAAGCTACCCGCACCCTTTGCGTTAGATAGACTTGAACAATTTAGCACTTGCTATCTCCGCACTATAACTAAGCCTACATTCTTTACTAATAATGAATAGACAGGGTACAGCAGCCTAAACGTTGGAACACAGATCTAATTTAATAGAGTTAGGGGCAATAACAGTAATGTAACAAGCAATCACTTAGACAAGTTCCCTAACAGCCACTTTCCCTTTCAAGTAGAGCGTGTTATACGCTTCTAGTTGGTTTAAGAGTAGGATAATAGCAACATGTACCTACTGCAGTCTAACTATTTCTATACGCAAGCTTCTCTCTATGCGCTTCAAGTAACAGTAAATAGAATCACTAGACGCCTTAAGATCGCGCGCAACAATCTTTTCCACTCACACTGGCCAGTGCGCGATGCGGTCATCACACCATTTAGGATAGTGGAGGCAGTGCATGTACCGGGATACTGGACGTGGTTGTGGAAATGCAAATAGTCTGAGACAAATGCTTGATGTCTTGGTTAAATACTTCAGGGCACCTTATCTACTTGCCTTCTAGTGTAGCGAGCGTACGCCTGCCTACCTGCTAAGCTTAGATAGTCGCCTGCCTTTTAACTAAATTTACTACGCACTTCCTTCGCCTAGTCAGCCTCCTGTTTCTTAGAAGACTAAAGATAGCCTAACCGCCTATCACGTAAGCAATCTATAATGCCTCCAACCAGGTCTTTAAATAACTGTTAAAATTCTCTGCTGTCACTCGCGTATTATAAAACAAATAACAGTTTAATAGCGCCCTGCATAGTAGGGTAAGCTTGCGGGAACAAATGCCTAAGGAGCTTGCACTTATAGAGCAAAAGATAGAAAGATGCTAGTTAGTATTAATTCTTGTTAAAAGATATAGGTTACACCTAGAGATGCTGCCTAAGCTATAACGCACGTTTGCTACATAGGGAAGGTTAGCAAAGGTGCAGTATAGGATGTTTTTTATGCACGTACACAAGCTGCGCTAATGCTAATCTAAGACTATTCCATTCGTTTTGTCAAATTAACGTCTTTATACTGCGCTGCTTTAGTTACTCCTTCTATAGATTAAGTAGACAACAAGGCCTCGTTTAGATCTATGCTAAACGCTATAGACAAAAGTAGGCTGCAACTGCTAATAGCTAGGTACATTGCGCTGGTAAAGATTAGGAGAAGCTTTATGCTAACTATAGGCGCAAAACAAGGCCTTTAGTAGTAGGATAAAGACATAGACAATCTAGTTATCTCGACTTACTAGCTGTTAAAGCTTTATACTACATATTATACTAGAAGCGGACTTATGCTAGCTATTACAGACAGATTATGTGGCTGTGTCTTCTCTAGGCATAAGCTTGTGCAGCAGCATTGTCTATACCCTGTTTCTAGACGTACGGCGTAGCTTATAGCTTATATTAGATATATTTAGTGTTATAAACACTTGTTGCCTAGAGTTAAGCGGTTAAGCAACAAAAAGAGGCACAGTGCGGCAGAGTAAGACAGCAGTAAGCAGGCAGCACTGCAACACCGCAACACCCTAGCATGGTTACAATATCAACAATCCCCAAGAAAAGGAACAAGAAAGGCGACTAGTCCTGTAATTTCCTTGTTGCGCCCTAGGCGCTGTTAAGGCTAACTTGGGCAGAAGCTGTTTAGAGCACTGCTATATAAGAGGAGACATCCCCTAATTTAAAAATAAACAAACAAAGTCCTTTCTACTTCTATAGTCTCTAAAGACCTAAGCCTTGATTCGCCTGTCTTAACTACTACTATACCCTGCTCCCAACAAAGATGCGTTTCTACAAAGCCGTTGTCCTCCTTAGCCCTCTCCTTCTCTCCTTAGCTTCTGCTAAGTGCTACAATAACAAAATCCGAAATATAAACACCTAACTAGCACACAATAACATTCGAAATGTTGCTAAGTTCCTATAGGGCACGCTTATAGGAAGACAGGAGCATAGAACCTGCGTTATAGACACTGCAAACGGCAGCTAGTGGTACTTTAGCATTCAGAGCATAACAGACTTAGAGCAGCAAGTAACGGAGAACAAGATCGACGCATATCTTACCCGAGAGGTAAATAGTTGCAAGAAGCATAGAGGATTTCGCAGGGAGGGCAATATAGAATACAAGTACGTGTGCCCTAATGCAGATAGAGACAAAGGCATTACACTAACAGCTGGCTTTTAGCGCCGATCCTAACAATAGTGTTTGCTATAATGCTTATTATATCAGTCAGCACTCACGCAGACAAAGCGCCGCAGCGCAGGGTAGCAAGGTTGTCTTCGTCCCTATCTCGGGCCCCATACTATCCCAAGCGGCGATGCAGGCTAAGGAGGTAGCAGCGTAGAGATGCATAGTAGACAAGCGCTGCTATTGTTCTAGCAGTAGCAATTTAGAAAGTTAATGCTACCTTTTAGATTATTTTATATTACTATCGCTGTTTGGAAACAATACGTGTCCTGCTAAACTATAGTATATTGCTCTAGATACTATAAGTATATATGCAATGTGTTATTTAAATATCCGCCGCCTGAAGTAGCTTACGTAGACCTAGGTTGTTTAAGCGGGATAAGACAAAGGAACAGTAGGAGGGACAAAGGTCTCCAGGCTTCTACAACAAGCTCTTAACCAGCCTTCCTCTAGTCTTCTGCGGCGATCTCTCTCTCGCTGCAAGACAGAGAGAAGACAAAGAAACTCCCTAAGGATTATATGCAAACAAAGTAGCAGGGCAATAGCGCAAGAGACTATATTCAGACATAAAGACGTTTCTGCCCTTTTGCTGCGCCACTATGCTTCTCGCGTTCCCTAAGCGCTAGCTACGCGTCCTATGCGTAGGGCCAATACGCCGCCTACGCCTCTCTCCTTGAACCCCAATGCTGTGCCTGCGATCTTTTCTTATAACTTGCTAGATAACCTAGCATAGAAGACCTAGTGTCGCGAGAAGGACCAAGGGGGCGCAGTGTCTGCGGAGACTATCTCCCTAAGCGCAGCAACTGCACAGACCTGTAGTTGCGTCGTATTGCCAGCAACATTCTAAGAGAATCACCAATACTACTCTTGAGTTCTTCCCAAGGGCTGCATTTGACTCTAGTCTGTCCTTCCTCCTCTGCAGCACAATAACCGCTCCCTTGCCGCACGTTACTACACCTGCAGGCAAAGCCTCAACAATACCTGCTATAATGTCAAATTCCACTTCTACTCCACCAGCCTTCCGCTTGTCGCTCTACGTGACGCTTTCTTTAGTCTTTATAGCTATTGCTTTCCTTCTATATGCAGCACTTCTTATATCCTAACATAGAAGGCTAAGGAAATAGGATAGAACGCCTATTAGACACCGCCAGAATCCACCACCTGTGCCTAAGAAGGACCTGCACATATCGAAAGCATCTGTTAGCTTGTTTAGATGCGCAATAGCATATAACAGCGTTGCGCGTAGCAGCCAGGTTCATAGCTACTAGGTTGCTTACCCTAAACGAGCCAGTCAGAGCGCAACATGCAGCGCGCACCAAGCTCTATAAGGCACAGAGGCGCTAGAAGCTGTGCGCACGCCGTACCTCCATATACAAGAGCAGCCTATTGCTATAGACAAGTCGCCAGTAGATTATAGAAGCCCCTTCCGGTAGAAACGCGAGCCCACAAGACAACTTAGCCTAGACTTGGAAAGTGCTTGGCCTCGACCTTTATACGCCGCTTTAATAGAATAGGAGCAGGAACGTTTGCTTGCGTTACGGCTGTAGAAGAGCCCTAGCGATAACTCGAGTAGTCTGTATTCACGGCCGAGTTCGTGGTGCAGTCTCCCTAACACAGAAGAACGTGGAGTAGAGGGCCTAGAGTCCAGTTTAGGAGCGGGACCAGGGCCAACAATCCAATCAGGTGCAGTTCCCTCGCGTAGATGCAGCATACCGCCCCCTGCTCACACGCAAGAAGGGCTTAGTTGCGAACAGGGCTCAGTTGCAGACTAGGCACTGCCAAGAGAGATAGAGTAGAAAGTTCGCAGTAACCTGCAGTATAGTACGGCTCTGGCCACGTTTCACCCTCACAGTTCCTGCTTTCAGTCGCACTTTTTCCACTTAACATAACTGAGCGCTAGTTGTGCCTTCTCCGTGTAGAAATCCAAGCGCTAGCTCCGCCACCTCCTTGCGACGCTGTAGGCACCGACCGTGCCTTGTGCTGCGCTAGGAGGCTTATAATCCCAGCAACTGCAGTCTGCGCCCGAAGCTCGACTGATGTTCTACAATTATATAGAGGGGACTAACCTCCTGGTTTACAAGCAGGGCGCCGCTCTGCTAATCAACAGCTAGGAGTATTACAATCCCTCAGACCTCCTAAACTGCAGACTATAACTGTTACTGCTTGCACCGCTAAGATTCCGCTTGACTGCAGAGTACCTTCCCCTATATACACCTTTTGCGCAACAGGTACTGATCCTAATATAGAGAAGGAAGCCATTTCGCGATGCATTCAGGCACAACGATCCACACTGCCACAGCTGTGCGTTTCATCTCGGTCCGACCTGTGTTGATTCAGATTGCCAGTCGGTCTCCGCGATGCCGCCCATCGACTGATTTGCTTCCTAACAGTATAGTCCCTAGCAAAGATATCAGTATTCCATAGGACTAGGATAAGGGCCTGAACTTAGGCTTCCTCCTAATTCTGTCGGACAGCACCATCCCAAAGACCTGAATCTAGCACTACGTTCGCTCCTGAAGCGTCGACATCCTCATAAAACCAGTAAGGGGGGAGCTCCTAGACATCTACCTTGCGGTAAGGCAATTTAATAGGTGGTTAGCCCTGGAAGGCACAGCTAGAGGTAAGATCAAGGGAAGAAGACTTTAGATATCAATGTTAAGGCACAAGGGAGAACCTGCAGTGTGCAAGAGATAAGAGACGCAGTGTGCAAGAGATAAGAGACGCAGTATGCAAGAGATAAGAGACGCAGTGTGCAAGAGATAAGAGACGTAGTGTGCAAGAGATAAGAGACGCAGTATACTTCTATTCTAGGCATTAGTTACCTTATATCTCTTACAATTATACTACAACGCTCTATCTAAATACTATTATAGCTGCGAAATACTAACCTTAGAAACCCTACTGCATTTTTGCGTAAGCCTCTTGGTTCTCAACATCTATGCAGAAGTTCCTCGCGGCTCTGCAGCCTTAGATCGCTATTCTGCAGGCTATCTTAATTCCCCTGCACTACTTAAACCCATTGCAACTCTTGAAGCAATTGATTGCTTACCCCCTTGTGCTCCATGCGAATTCCTACTCCTACCGCGTTAGTTACTGTGCTCGATAAGGAGCGTCTTTCTTCAAATGTCGCCTTACTAGTCTTCTAGCCCTGACCCCACTAGTACCTCTATTAGCTTTATTACTTACTATAGCTTTTTCTTCTTATAGCTGGATAGCTAGGCTTAGTGTATAAGATATACTAGGTTATTATTAGTAAAGTACACGTCTTTGCCGCTCCAAGCCGC